GAACATCCAATGTGTAGTATAGCCGATTCACAAATATTTCTGTTAGAATTTGAATAGGTATTATGCTCACCTGTTATAGAGCCTTAAAATCATTGCTCTGAAGGTGTTAGGCTTTGTGCCACTCTAAAGGGGTTGGCACTTCCCCAAATGAAGGTACTTGAGGCTTCTATGAACTTAGTATAAAATGTAATCTATTTATTAATACAAATATGCTAAAAAGTAAATAAAAATGAAATACAATAATTAAGATAAAGTCCTGGTTGCCGATACGCATTTCACTCCTCCTGGAGATGTGTTTAGATCCTCTGTACCTTCAGCCTTTTAAATGTCTCTTGGGTCTGTGTCTTTAATTATGAGTCCCTCCTATATTTGTATACACCTGTGTTTCCATTCCTTTTTATTAGTGGGCGAAGGAGGTATGTTTTAAATTTAAAAATTCATTGGTGGTTTAGTGGTGGCAGAAGTGTCCGCCGGATGATCAGTGGTTGGCGGAAGTGACTTTTTTTTGTTGTTGTTGCTTTGCATCATTTACCTTATGCTTCCCTCCTCCCTCTAGGACGCACATGTGTCTAGTGACCGTGATTGCTGCGGTAAGGTTCGGCGTGGGGGTGTAAATCATCACGTCACTCCCATCGTCAGGAAATTATGCGCATGCTTGGACATGACCCGGGAATAAGCGAGGCCATATTGGATATGGGAATGGGTAAGGGAAAGACAGGTGTATAGAAGAAATACCGGGGAATAGACAAAACAGCACGTAAATATAGTTTTAGTACATGATTGTGTTGTATGATATATATTTCACCTTTAGAAATAAAAATTTAAATTAAAAAAAATTAAAAGATTAGTTTGTACTTGTATTTATGTTCTTACTTATTTTGACTCTTATTTTCTTTAGTTTAATTAGAGTCTGATTAGAAATTATTACATTAGATTTCAGCTGTTAATAAAAATCGTTTTTTATACGATCTAAAGTATAAAAATATTTTATAAACATTATTTTAGGTTAAAAATAGAGATTTAAAATTATTATATTAAATAATTTTTCTAAAAGGTTAAATGAAGTGGCAGAGCTCGAAGTCCACATTTAGACCCTGGGGATACAATGTTCCTAAATTGAAGATCCACTTCATTTCGTTTTGACCCAAACTCTTAATTAGATCTCCTTCACGCCAATTTCCTGTTACTTTCTGGATGCCCATGAATTGAAGGTTGCTTGGGTCATTATTATGTTTATTTTTAAAATGTTGCGACACACTGTGTCCTTCATAACCTTTTTTAATATTTCTAATATGCTCCTCTATCCTTGTGTGGAGGTTTCTTTTTGTGCGGCCTATATATTTTAGGCCGCATGGGCATTCCATTAGATAAACCATGTTTACCGAGTGACAGGTTATTAATTCCTTAATTTTGAATTCTTCGTCTTGTTTAGAGTTCTTGAATTTGGTAATGTGTCTTTTTATTTTTTGTGTTTTTACAAGCAGAACAAATCCTGCGTCCAAAAAACCTTTTTATTGTTAATAAAATTTTAAGTTGGTTTCTTTTTTATGTGGTTTTTAGTTAATAGTTGTTTGAGGTTAGGTGCGCCTCTGAAAATTATTTGTTTTTTTTTGGTATGAGGTTTAATAATTGTGGTTCTTGTTTTAAGATCGGCCAGTGCTTATTTAATATTTTCCTGATCCCTCTATGATTGAAGCTATAATTGCACACAATAGGTATATCATTTTCTTGTGTTTTGTTTATTGGTGGTTTTTCTTTTAAAAGTGTATTTCTATTTATTTGTAATATTTGTTGATAATTTTTCTCCAAATCTGTTTCCTTATAGCCTTTTTCTAATAAATCTGTCTTTAGTTTGTTAGCTTGTTCTTTAAATTTATCGTCTTCTGTGCAATTTCTTCTAATGCGAAGGAACTGAGACTTCGGGACACTTTTAAGCCACGGTTCGTAATGACACCTTGATATGTGTATAAAGCTGTTTACGTCCACAGTTTTGAAATGGGTACTGGTTTTAATTTTATTTTTTTCAATGAATATATTGAGATCTAAAAATACTGTTTGTTTTTTGCTATACTTCGTGGTGAGGATGATTCCCCAATCGTTATTATTTAGGTTATCAATGAAATTTTTCAAAGTGTCTTCCGTGCCATTCCAGATAAAAAACAAATCGTCCATGTACCGGCGATAGGTCACCATGTCCTCCACCCAGCCATGATCCCGTAATATGAAATGGTGTTCCCAATTAGCCATAAATAAGTTTGCATAGCTGGGTGCGAGCCTGGTGCCCATCGCCGTACCACAGGATTGTAAATAAAAAAACGTATTTATACCAAAAATAGTTACTGGTTAAAATAAACTTGATTCCCTCTATAATTTGATTGTTCCAGGAAATACATAACTGCTGTGCTGCCTTTTTGGTGTTATATAATTGTATATAATGAGCTGACATCAGCAGTTACAAGGTAATACTCCTCTTTCCAGGTCATGTTTTCAATATGCCTTAAAATGCTTCCTGTATCTTTTAAGTAGATAGGTGTCTTTTGTACTATCGGCTGTAGACATTTGTCTTTGTATTCAGACAGCCTACTAGATATTGATCCAATGCCTGAAATTATAGGCCTTCACGGTGGATGGATTCGGTCTTTGTGTACTTTTGGTAAGTAATAGAAAACCGGGATTTTTGGAAATTCTACATTTAGATATTCAAATTCCTTTTTATTTAAAATACCTGTATCAAGGCCTTTCTTTAAATATATATTAAATTTTTCTTTCATCATTTTAGTTCGGTCCATTGTTAATATTTTTCTATCATTTAAGAGTCTTGAGGTATTTACTGATTTAGAACACATAATGATTACCCCATATATGTGAGATCCTCTCTGTAGACACAATGGGAATGTAGAAGAACATAGATCCAATTAAAGGGACACTATAGGCACCCAGACCAATTCAGCTCATTGAAGTGGTCTGGGTTCAGATTCCGAGGTCCTTTAACTTTATGGGTTAACTCCACCTCTAGTGGCTGTCTACTAGACAGCCACTAAAGGGACTTCCAAGTTGTTAGGTGACTTTTTGTTGCCTTACTGACACTGGACGTTCTCACACTACTATACTATTTATTTTATATAGGGGAGGACACTATACTGAGCTATAGCGCCAGGAAAACAATTTTGTTTTCCTGGCACTATAGTTTCCCTTTAAATGCCAAAGAGATCAAAAAATATATAACAACTGACTTATCTGAACTAGTTAACAGAGTTTAATCTCTAGAAGAAAGTTAGAATTAATGCCAATTATTAAAGAGTAACGTTACTTCATTGGAAAGCAAAGAACAACAACAAACAGTTGAATTGAAGATAGAATCAATGCAGACTAGGATAGCAGACCTTGAAGACAGATTTCGTAGGAATAATGTAAGAATTAGGAATATCCCTGAAAATGTTACTGCGGACAAATTAGAAGATATTTGCTTAAATTTTTTGAGGTATAAAGGTATTGCCTTTGGTTCCCCTCCCACTTATATTCATGGTTCTCGTACCATCTCAGTGGCATAGAGACCTATGCCTCACTTGGATTTGCACTTAAATGCATGCTTTTGTAAAGTGTGTTTGTATATAATTTTGGAGTTTGAATGGATAGGTTTATTTGTATGTAATTTTTTTTATGTTCTTACACAAATATACACACACAAGAACACAGGTACACATATATACACACCAACACTTACAAACACAGATACAAAGATACATACCCTGACACATGCACACACTGGGACAAAACAGATACACCCATGACATATACACAACTTGACACACACTGTGACACAGGTACACACAAACACACTCAGTGTAGACACAAACAGACACAGAGGGGAGCGAGTGTGGGGTCTGCTGCAGCTCCTCTTTTTCTCCCCCCATGCTGCCTGTGCCTCCTCCGCCATCTCCTCACTCTCTGCGCTCTCAATAAGAAGCTGGGAGGAAGTAACTGGCTGTCACTTCCTCCCAGTCGGACAATATCACAGGAGCCTGGTCGCACTCATAAAGGGCTGCGGCACCCGACTGGACCATATTCAGCAATAAAGCAACAATACCCATCGAGTGGGTCCATGGGCTACCTGATGGGCCCCCATAGCTTGCGGGCTCCAGTGCAGCTTCTTATTACAATACATTGGGTTAGATTTAGATTACCTGCTAGGGTTAATAATTTCATTATTATTTGTAAAATGCTGAGGATCCCTGGGGTGCCTGAGGTGCTGGGCTTCTGGCAGTCCAGGCCCGAGACTGTAATGGGGTCCGATGGGCGCTCTGCCCTTGCAGACCCAGTTTGCGCTGGCTTTTTACCATCTCCCTTATGTCCCTACTGGGGATAATGGTAGAGGCTTATTGCGTGTTAATAGTTTCTCTGCCCATTTACCGGAGAGGAGGTTTTTCTTTTGCAAGGTTTGGCTCTCCAGAGCTAAATAGAAGTAACAGGAGCTTATTTTGAGTGTGTCTGGCTTCAGACTTCTCAGTATTGAGAAGTCCGAGATTAAACCGCAGGATGTACAGGAGGCTGGTCCACAATGCTTCTCAAAGAGAAGCATCTGATTGTTCATTTTGCCTAAAATGGGAAAAAAGGTGAGGGCTTGCCCCTTCTCATACGGGAGTGTAGAGTACAGAGTAAACCCCCCCTTTTTTATACTAACTGTGCTTCAACACATTTGTGGGTTTTATTTTCACTACAGACTGCAAACAAAAGTCAGTATGTTATGCTCCTAACTTGATTAGGCATGAAACTCGGAAGTGATACTGTTGGGAGTATGTCACCTTGTACTTTTTTTTTTTTTTTTTTTATCTCCCTCATGTGGCTCAAGATAATTTTCTAGTCTTAAATATATTGTAATAAACTACTGTATTATTTTTACTCTGGAAGATAACTATTTTTTGCATTACAAATCACAAAGAACTTTTTCTTTCAAAAGCGGTTTATTGAGTTATTTTTAAAGTATAATACAAAACAAACCTGAAACACATAAAAAAATAAAACTAGATATTCTCACAAAATGTCTTGTAATACATTAGGAATATGCATTAATTTACTACAAGTGAAATATTAAGAATAGGCAGCATAAAATTTAAATTCTACATAAAATATGTAAACATTCATGTTTTTCATGGTTAAAACATCATCCAGAAGCCAAAGGTATATTACAATCCTTTAGAACAGGCTTCCCCAAACGCCGGCCCTCCAGATGTTGTTGAACTACAACTCCCATGATCATATGAATGAAACGGATAGGCTAAAAATCATGGGAGTTGTAGTTCAGCAGCATCTGGAGGGCCGGAGTTTGGGGAAGCCTGCTTTAGAAGGATTCTAAGTATAAAATATTGAGTGAGCGAAAATAATGAGTGAGAAAATGAATGTAAAAGGTAGCATACAACACATGCTTTTTGCTAATTTGTCTGAACCAAAAGCGGATCGGATCTACTGTAATAGAGAGCATATTACCATAAAATCTGCCCGTATAATGATTGCCATGACATGTAATATCAATGTTCACCAACCTTACCTGGTGTTGCTGTTGTGGCTCACCAAGGCTATTTGTTAACTCTGTGCACACCCAAAATTAAGAATAATTAAAAAAAAAAAGCATACAGGGGCGGACTGACCACTCTGGCAGATCGGTCATGGACCGAGGGCCCGACGCCTGGCCAGATGCACAAACATGCTCTGGCTGGTGTGATCAGTTGAGAGATCTCCCAAGTCATAAAAACGCCATTATTTTACATATTACAGCAATATGTTGCCTCTGCACCCTATCGCACACTTAGTATTCCCCCTCTGCCTCCCCTCCACCCCACATTCTGAGTGAGACCTGGCAGTGATCCTGCAGCACTTGCCAGGTCTCCTCCATGTCATGGTTGTGCGGAGCTACGTGTGAGGGAAAGAGGTGGGGCCCGGGAGAGGGGAAGTTACTTCATTTCCTGCCCTGCCCTCTCCTGCAGAATCTGCTGAAGCCTTGCAGACAGCAGGTATGTAAACATTTTCTTAACCCCAATCCCCCAGCCCAGACATCTTGCCCCACCTCATCCATCCCAGCCCCTATGCCCCAATTCACCCATACCAACCCCCCCTTACACATGCCAGCCTCAATGTCTCCTTCACCCATCCCAGATCCTAGGCCCCTTCACCCATCCAAGACCCTTTGCCAGTGTTAATCAATACCAGGGGGCATAGGAGCTGGGATGGGTGAACTGGGGCATAGGGGCTGGTATACGTGAAGGGGGCATAGGGGCTTGGGTGGTTGAAGAGGCCTAGGTGCTGGTATGGGTGAAGGAGGGCGCACACAGGCTGGTATGGCTGAAGTGGGGCATAGGAGCTGGGATGGGTGAAGGGGCATAGGAGCTCGGATGGGACATAAGGCCTGGTATGGGTTAAGAGGGGCAAAGGATCTGGGATGGGTGAAGAGGCATAGGGTCTGGGATGGGTGAAGGAGGCATAGAGGCTGGAATGGGAGAAGTTGGGCATCGGGGGCTGGGATGGTCAAAGGGGCATAGGAGCTGGGATAGGTGAAGGGGCTGGTATAGGTAAAGGGGGACATTTGGTCTGAAGTGGGTAAAGAGGGGCATAGGGCCTAGTATGGGTAAAGAGGGGCAAAGGGGCTGGGATGTGTGAAGCGGCATAGGGTCTGGGATTGGTGAAGGAGGAATAGAGGTTTGGATGGGTAAAGGGGGCCTGGTATGCCCCTCTTAACCCATTGCAGCCCCTTTGCCCCCTTTACCCATCACAGACCCTATGTCCCCCTTCACCCAACACAGCACCTATTCCTTCCCACTACAGACCAATCCATCTCATTCCTATCCCTCCCTGTACCCACCACAGTCTATGCCTTCTTGCATACACCTCGGCCTCTCTCTCTCTCCATGTACCCACCTCATCTATTACAGCCCCTATCCCCCTGCACATACCACAACCCCATCCCTCTCATCCCTATCCTGCACCCACTGCAGCACCTATACCTATACCTTACAGTACCCGATTCCACACATACCACTCCTGCACCCACTACAGCAACTATCCTTGCTCCATACACACACCCCTACACCTACTACAGTACCTATGCTCTCCTGCGTCTACTACAGCCCATATAACCCACACACGCTTCAGCCACTATGCACCTACTACTCTCACATAATATTTATGTGATACTCTCACATAATATTTATGTGAGAGCCACACAAAGACTTTGCAGCAGGAGGGGGCCCCTTGGTCTCCTATTGACCGAGGGCCCTGTGAGTTGTCAGTCCACCCGTGATAGCATATGAAGTAATTTGCTGCCCACTCTCACAATACAATCTCTATTTTAATAGGTTTGAGCTTGCCTGAGGTGTACAGCTGACCCACATTTTTCAATAACAACATTAATTCACAATAATAGTCACAGTTTAGTTTAAAATACTCTAATCTGTAAAATGGCATTCAATGTGCCATTTGAGATATTTTTGTAGTGCAGTAAATTTTATTAAAAAAATAATTATAGTTCATAATAAATCTGCTAAAATCTTTGTACAAAAAACAATATTTATCTGTGCATGATTATGGAAGGAAAAGATATACAATCAACAAAGGCTGCTGTATCTTCTGAACTCTGTTCCTCAATTCTCCAATAATATTCGTATCACCCTGTTAATGTCAATGCCTGAAAAGAAAGTAGATTTGTTACAACTGATTACACACATTATACAAATGCAGAGCAGTCTGAGATAGGTTGATCATACTGGCAATATATGACACAGCAATATATATATATATATATATATATTTTTTTTAAGGTAGGCGCATGTTGTGATGCACTGAGGAACTTTTAACTCAGACCCAAATTGTGAACATGATATATTAGCGTGGAAATCAATTCTTTAGTTGTAAATTTAACCTAGTGACTCTTTCATCAACTGTGATATAATTTTACTTAAAGGGACAGTATATGCATCATAACTACTACATCCTGTTGTATTAGTTATGGTGCTATGTCCATGTTAATATGGAAAGTTCCACTTCTGCATCAGCAATATCAGTTTCATTCATATATGACTTTTGTGGCCTATCAATGCAGTTAATATATGGACAAACTTGCCATTGTTGCTAATGGAAAAGTGAATTCAACACTTGAGCAGGGGCCAGAGGGCCGGTGCTTCGGAAAAGGTTATATATATATATATAGATATATATATATATATAGATATATATAGATATATATATATATATATAGATATATATAGATATATATATATATATATATATATATATATATATATATATATATAGAGAGAGAGAGAGAACAAAATCAGAACATTTTCAAAAATAAATTCACTAAATGCCCTATATTGCATCACTGTTGCAGTCAAATAAAAGCCATATTGATTACCTTTAAGGACTGGTGTTGCTGCAGCTACTTTAGAAACCTCAACAAAGAGGCTTGAAATGACCTCATCGTCTGAAAATCCAATAGCAGTCGTGCTAGGTTTGTAGGCAGGAGTTAGTATGGATGCTGAAGAGGCAGTGACAGAGATCTTCTGTGAAGGTTTGTCCTGACTTTGCTTAGACATGGATTCAACATTTGCAGTCCTAGCAGCTGTATTACTCCTGCCTTTGCATGTTGCACTTAGACTCTCAATGGTTGTTGTGTCTACTAAGAAACACAAAATAAAATCCAGTTATCATTCATTTTCAATAATCATGAAACTTTAAGTGAGACACACCTATTAAAACATTGGTTAACTTTAAGAGGTATAATGCTTAGCCAGCAAGGCAGTCATGGATAAAAGGGTGATTTCTTCTTATGAGCCTCCCCATTCTCAATCTATGGAAGCAAACCCAAAGGAAATATAGTATAATACTTTTACAATGTTACAAAACTTCAAGACTGAATGATCTTTAGAGATCACTGGAATTATCGTATATACTTGTGTATAAGTCGAGAAATTTTAGTCGTAAATTTCAGTTTAAAACGCAGAGTTGGCTTATCCACGGGTCAGGGCTAGTTTATATAGAATTTTGTACATTAAATGCGGAGCAATGTCGACTCCCGAACGCCGTTCTCCTAGCTGGACGGGTCGATCGGGCAGGGGTACAAGTTTCAGCGGGGTTCGCTGGCTTGCGTAGCTGACTCAGAGATCCATGCCGTCGACGACCATGTACCGCTGCCTGCATTCAGGAGACAAGTTTGTTTGAACACGTGCGTTCGTATATACGAATGGTGGCCACCCAGGGAATGCTTGTTTGTGGTTAACAGCCAGCAGTGGTCAGTGATTACGAGGTGTTAACAAGCACCACACAGTCTGTTTGGTAACCAAACAGAAGGGGAACAATTCCATTTGAATGCAGGGTTCAAATAAGGGAAAACGTACCCTTGACTTATCCACGAGTCACATCATATTTAACAAATGTTGGTCAAAAAACTGCACTCGACTTATAGATGAGTATCTACGGTAACCCAAGTGAAATTCTAAATCTGTTAATGTGTGAAGCAGAAAAAAAAAACTAGAGGAGAGTATATATAAAGCATTTTATATGCTAACCATCTAAAATGCTTGATATTTTAATTAATCCAAAAAGTAGTGTGTATTTACAAAAAAGAAATTGGAAAGAGCGCTTGTTCAGGTTCTTACCAGACTGTCAGGACCCATCTCTGGAGACTTTAAATTGACATTTACAATAGTAGTGTTATTAAGAACATGGCAACATGATTTCCTCAAACACTAATTTCAACTAATCTAAAAGTATTTTCTGTTTATTTATTTTTTTATTCATTTTTGTTGTTGTTTTTTTTGCAGCAAGAGACTACATTTATTTAATTGTCCTTGGATCAATCTGATGTAGTGTAATGGTCATTGCTGTAGTTCAGCCACCCTGGACTATCCCTGGCAAATAAATTCAAGCTTCATATTCCAGGTTGTTATCAGATAGTTTATTAGCATGATGTTCGCTTATGTGTTGCTAAAGTACATTATACATTCACTAATGAGAAAAGGGATAATATGACAGGGATGTAATACTTTGAATAGTGTCAATTCTGTTTGTAACATATTTGTCACCATACATCTCCGTTCTCTCTTGCAGTGATCCCAATGTATATTCTCCATTCATTTCATGGAATTTCTTTATTATTTGAATAGTCTAAAGAGATATAAATATTACATCCATGCCACAGGTTGGCTTTGCCCTTTTCAGTCCCTCCTTACTTGATATAGGCCAGATATCTGTATCTATTTTTCGTCTTGGTATGGCTAATGGTTTCAACAACCAGTAGACATAATGCATACTGCTAAATGAATTAGCAGTATCCCACAGTCACTTTTTTACATGCTTTTGTTGGCATGCATGAGTTCCAAAGTAGTTAGTAGAATGTTATGCCATTTTTTAAACTATCCCATATAAACCATTATACATTGTTTTATTTGAGGGCTATTTTCAACAACAAATAAATAAACAAAAACAGCCTGTAAGTAATAAACTCTTTATAGATTTAGGAATTCTGCGCATATCAGAACTTTTAACTCAAGTCTTTCCCTACAAAATAATTTAAAACCACAAGCATAACCAGCCACACTTACTGCATTTTCTTATTCCATATTGTTTATCTTGCATCTAAAAGTGATCATATATGGCATTTTAGATTAGTATGGTCTACTTAAGTAATATAGTTACCTTGGCCTGCATCACTTTCTGTAGATGTCTCTGTAGTTGGAGATGGGGACCTCGGAGTTAAACAACACTGCAAATCATGAAAAGAAGCACTGATCGTTTTTCTTTTGACAGGTGGAGAATAGGAATCCTCTTGTGTGTCAGAGTCTGTATCGGAGTCTGCGTCTGAGATTTTTGTTGAACTAGCTTTGTTGTCCTTAATGGTTTTCAGAGAATCCCAACACATCTTCCATGATGTTCGACTGGTTGTGCAATGTTCTGCAATATAAGAAAAATCTGCAAACTCTTAATTATGAAAATGGACCAGTCACCTAAAGAAACAAAACATAGTTCTTTGTTGGAAAAGATATGCTTATAGAACATCTTAGCACAACAGGCATTTCCTATGCATCACAGTCAGTCATTTCCTATCCATCATTCCTGTAACATTTTCCATCTACTGCCTTCTTGATGGGTTCATCTATGGTTTCACCATAAATCACGTAACTCTGGCAAACTGGCATATTCACCTTTAAACTGGAAATATAGTGTGAACTGCACAAGAAATGGACTGAAAGATTTAATTTAAAAGAAATATCTGCATTTTAGGTCCACAGCTAAGACTCAGGTCTGCTGGCAGCTTCTGAAATTAATTCACAGTCTAGTCCTGGGGTAGGCAACCTATGGCACCAGTGCCATGCACGGCACTTGATGTGTCTTTGCACGGCAATCAAGGCTGCTAGAGCCAAACAGGCTCTGGCCTATCAGGAGTCACAGTGAAACTTCAGGTATATGAAAAGGTGGTTAAGGACAATCCTCAATTTATGCATTGCAGCACTTGTGAATGGGAATTCACACTGGAGTAGAGAAGCCCGCAGCTGCTGTTGCAGCTCCTGTCCTTGACCTGTACCAGGCCAGCCTGGTCCCCACTGGAACCCAAGAAAGCCATCCACACTGCTAGATATACACATAAATGCAGAATAACCCTCCCCTTATACAAATAATATTAACAGCTCACACACAAACATACACACAATCCGCAGAAACACAACACCACTAACAATCCACATACATGAACACAATCCTACATGCAGCCTCTCACATCCAATACCCCAAAAACATACACACATTACCAAACACACAATGTGAGATATCCATTCACACACACAATTCCACAAGCAGCCCTCATACACAAACCACATTCATAAGAATCATACACTATACCACAAACTACTCCTGAACATATACAATATAATAGCTCATATACTCACAAATACAATGATACAAAGCAACAGCAGTATAAGTAACACAAGCAGAATACGACAACATACACACCTCAATTTAAAAAAATAGGACCAGCATGCACACTGCTACTGAAAGGTTGCCTACCCCTGGTCTAGTCTGATATCCTACGCATAGCATTATTCTACATCCCTTTCCAAGTTCTGCTTCCATATTTTTCAGATTTAGAGAAACATCCAAATACATCTGCATTTGGTGGATTATCAGGAAAAACTGCACCATTTAATGTATTTTCTTATTTCCATGTTCCTATACAGGTTCTTATTTCAACAATTTGCAAAGCATAAAACTCACTAATTACCTTTAATCAGTGCTTTAGAGGGAGCAGTTGTGTTCTCTTCAGTGACTACTTCAGAGAAAGCGCTATTTGAATCACATTCTGTAGATGACGTAGACGTTGGAGATGAGATGTTTTGAAGAAAATAATCCTGAATTTCATCTGAAGAAACCCTTGTTTTCCTTCCAGCTGACGTAAAAAATGATTTAAAAGGACTCTCTAAGATTAGTTGCTCCTCACTAATCTGAGGCAGAGACGTGATAGGAGGCTTGGCTACATTTTCCTGCTCAATGCTATCAGGGCATAAATTCAAACACTCTTTCTTTGCAGTTGAATTGGGTGTAGAACGTTCTGAAATAAATAATAATATTAATATTTTTAAATGGCAAAATCAGAAAAATAAAGCTATGTTCATCTAACAGAATGTAGTTAGACTCTAGTGTATTTGCTCAGTAAAAACAAGTTACAAAACAGTTACATCTAAAGAAAACAAAAAAACATATATAAAACAAACACCCAGTTACCTTTGAGGGTTGGTTTTATTAAAGTCATCCCAGCAGTCTGTTTCATGTTGTCTTCATCGCTTTTGCTTACAAAACGTTTTGTACACACTTGTAGTCTAGTATGCCCTGCAGGTGAAATCTGCATGGCATCCGAGGCAGCAACACCCATTTCACTCTGGGCAGTAAAAGCAGAGCGCTTCTGGTCTTCATTTGGTTTGAGTAAAGAGGTGGCATGCAAGAGCTGGGATACAGACTCTGGTTTAATGCAAGTACACAATTTGTCCAGGAATTGATGTTTTGTGCTAGAACTATTTCCAAGGACTTTGAAAAGTGAAAAATAAAAAAATAAAGAGAAATAGGAAGAAGGTAATTAATAAAGATGAGGGTTTCATTCCAGTTGCATTCCAGTTTCACAAACTACAAATTGCTTAATCAACATAAGTTGGTCTATACATATTTGGGAGATTCAAATACTGAAACTAACATCTTAAATTATAAAACATAGATAGAGAGATAGAGATACACTTTAAAAAAACAGTGTTTAAAAGGAGATGCTACATTTTGCTTTATTTACGGTCAAAAAATTTATTGTCTCTTATTATACTATTGGGTTGCACCAATAACAAACACACTACATTCTAGTTGGTTTGTGTCTTCCAGAAGAAAAAAAAAAAAGTTATGGTTTATAACAAATTATTACTGATACATTAGTTTCAGTAAAAATAAAACTTCAGACTGCACTAAAAGCACTCCACAACCAGCCAGCAGCAAACCACACTTATTTAAGATGATGAAGATTTAGCCTAGTTACCTGCAGAGATCGGTTTGGCAGCATAACATCCAGAGCGCACTTGTAGGTGATCTGAAGCAGTACTTATTCTCCTCTTTTTTGATGCAGAAGGGGATAAAGGTGTGGACGGTTTGGTTTGGTTTGGTTTGGATGGGCATGTGGGAATTGAAGTCCTGGAATCACTGCTTCCTTTGGGTATGCATTCAGAATTTATTTGGAGGCCTTCTACAGCAAATAAAAAAACATTGAAATACAAAATTAAAGCAGTGACATGATTAAACAATTGCTAATTCTTAGAAAAAAAGCTTAGTCCGATTAATTGTTACATGATACTTTCATCTGAATTGGTAATAAACCAACTAGAATTGATGCTTTTCTGGATCTGATAACTAGTAATGTTGGTCGCTTATGAAACATTCAAGGGAGCACTTGGTAAATAGTGACTATAATATGCTGTCATTTCAACTAAGCTCAGCAAAATATATTCACACAGGTTCGCCAAAACACTGACAGGGTTAGTCACAAAAAATTCAAATTCCAAGTGAATTTCAAATTTAAGACCAATATAGCAGAACTGAAAGTATGGCTAACTGGGAAAATTATTCAGATTATGTATTTTAGGCTTAAATTTGAAAAACTTTGAATTAATTTTGTCTACTCATCTCATACAACTTGTACTGCCTCATTCTATGTGTATCTTTCAGGGTAAACCATTCCTAACATCCTAATTACGCTGCCTGAAAACATGAAAGCAATAATTTAATTTGTATTGGTCATCATCAAAACTAAATTCAAAATTCCACTAAATGTGATTACCTTTAAGAGTCTGTGACATAGCAGTAGTTGTGCCAGTTGGCATTGGAATGTCCATGTTAACTTTGTACACAGAGCTGCTGGTAGATTGTTCAGGTTTTGATGCTGGGCCTGTGTCAAATGCTGTAATGTGGCTATGCATGATGTCTGAAGAAACAGCGCCAGGTTGATTCTCGATTGGTCCTAACCGGGAAGTAAAGGAGGATTTGGAGGACTCTGGGTGCTGGTGTGGCTTCAGCACAAATGCCGAAGGTTTAATTCCAGTAGAAGATGCATCATATGCCTGCTGCCTTGGAGTAGCCCTGATTGTGTGATCTTAAAAAATATACATAATTTTTTTTAAATGATAAGTTAAATAACTTATAAATAAACTTTGAATTCACCTTGTCTACCTATTTCATACAACTTGTTCTATTTGTATATTTCAAGATAAGCCATTCCAAACCTCTTACATATACTGCCTAAAAACAATAATGTAATTTAGATTGGTAATCAAAACAAAATTCAAAACTCTATTAAATGTGATTACCTTTAAGAGTCTGTAATATAGCAGTAGTTGTGCCAGTTTGCGTTGGAATGTCCATGTTAACTTTGTCCATAGAGCTGCTGGTAGATTGTTCAGGTTTTGATGCTGGGCCTGTGTCACATGCTGTAATGTGGCTCTGCATGATGTCTGAAGAAGCAGCGCCAGGTTGATTCTCGATTGGTCCTAACTGGGAAGTAGAGGAGGAAGTGGAGGACTCTGGGTCCTGGTCTGGCTTCAGCGCAAACTTAGAAGGTTTAATTCCAGTAGAAGATGCATTGGGTGCCTGTTGTCTCGGAGTAGCCCTGATTCTGGGGTCTAAAAAAAATGTCTTTGGAATGTCCATGTTAACTTTGTACACAGAGCTGCTGGTAGATTGTTCAGGTTTTGATGCTGGGCCTGTGTCACATGCTGTAAAGTGGTTCTGCAGGATGTCTAAAGAAGCAGCGCCAGGTTGATTATCGATTGGTGTGAATTGGGAAATAAAGGAGGATGTGAAGGACTCTGGGTCCTGGTCTGGCTTCACCACAAATGTGGAAGGTAAAGGCTGGGGTAAAGATTCATGTTTAATTCCAGTATAAGATGCATCAGGTGTAGTAACTGTGGCAGATGGCTTTGGAATGTCGATGTTAACTTTGTACACAGAGCTGCTGGTAGATTGTTCAGGTTTTGATGCTAGGACTTTGTCACATGCTGTAATGTGGCTCTGCAAGATGTCTGAAGTAGCAGAGCCTGGTTGATTCTCGATTGGTCCTAACTGGGAAGTAAAAGAGGACGTGGAGGACTGTGGGTACTGGTCTGGCTTCAGCGCAAACGTGTAAGGTAAAGGCTGGGGTACAGATTCATGCTTAATTCCAGTAGAAGATGCATCATGTGCCTGCTGTCTTGAAGTAACTCTGATTCTGGGGTCTTAAAAAAAATAAAAAAAAAATAAAATAAATATATATATATATTTTAAAACAGTAAGTTAAAGGAACACTATAGGGACAGGAACACAAACGTGTATTCCTGACCCTACAGTGTTAAAAAACATGTAGAGTCCCTGGCTGCGACTTAAATAATAGGAAAACTTAACTTATTTCCAGTTCAATCATTGTGAAAGATTGATGATCTCAGCAAATCACAATGCTTTCCCATATGAAAGCAATGGATAGGCTGAGTTTGTCAATTCTGATGATTTCAGTAAAGGAGGCAGGATGCAGGGCAAAACACCACCCTAGCCAATCAGCATCTCCTCATAGAGATGCACTGAATCAATGCATCTCTATGGGGAGCATTCAGCATCTCCATGCAGAGCGTGGAGACGCTAAACGGCAGTGCTAAAGCACCTCGAATGGCCGTCTAAAGAGTGGCCACTGGAGGTGTTCCTAGGCAGTAATGTAAAACACTGCCTTTTGTCTGAAAAGGCAGTGTTTACATTAAAATGCCTGCAGTGACTGACTGTACTCACCACAAAAACTACATTAAGCAGTATTTGTTCGGGTGACTACATGGTCCCTTTAAATAAGCTTTGAAATTCACATGTTGTACTACTTCATTCTATTTGTACCTTTCAGGATAAACCATTCCTAACTACATACATATACTGCTTAAAAACTTGAAAGCAATAATGTAATTTGGATTAATGATCATCAGAACAAAATTAAAAACACCACTAAATGTGATTACCTTTAAGAGTCTGTGATATAGCAGTAGCTGTGCCAGTTGGCATTGGAATGTCCATGTTAACTTTGTCCATAGAGTTGCTGGTGGATTGTTCAGGTTTTGATGCTGGGCCTGTGTCACATGCTGTAATGTGGCTCTGCATGATGTCTGAAGAAGCAGCGCCAGGTTGATTCTCAATTGGTCCTAACTGGAAAGTAGAGGAGGAAGTGGAGGACTCTGGGTCCTGGTCTGGCTTCAGCGCAAACGTAGAAGGTTTAATTCCAGTAGAAGATGCATTGGGTGCCTGTTGTCTCGGAGTAGCCCTGATTCTGGGGTCTAAAAAAAATAATCATTTAAATCATAAGTTACATAATTTATAAATAAACTTTGAATTTATCTTGTTTACCCATCTGATACAACTTGTACTGACTCATTCTATTTGTAACTTTTAAGATAAACCATTCCTAACCTCCTAATTATGCTGCCTAAAAACATGAAAGCAATAATGTAATTTGTATTGGTTATCATCAAAACTCAACTAAATGTGATTACCTTTAAGAGTCTGTGATATAGCAATAATAGTGGCAGATGGATTTGGAATGTCCATGTTAACTCTGTCCAAAGAGCTGCTGGTAGATTGTTCAGGTTTTGATGCTGGGACTGTGTCACATGCTGTAATGTGGTCTTGCATGCGGTCTGAAGAAGCAGAGTCAGGTTGATTTTTGATTGGTCTGAATTGGGAAGTAATGGAGGATGTGGAGGACTGTGGCTCCTGGTCTGGTTTTAGCACAAACGTGGAAGGTGAAGGCTGGGGTACAGATTCATGTTTATTTCCAGTAGAAGATGCATCAGGTGTCTGCTGTCTCAGATTAACCATGATTCTGGGGTCTTAAAAAAACAAACAAAAAAAACCCACGTAAATAAGTTAAATGAGTGTGTGATTGACATTATTAACAGATTTAACATTAAAGCACACCAGTGAGTTTCCATGTTCTTTATGAATTGATACAGATAACGTGTGAAGAGCCCTTCTGATACAACATGGTCTGGCTACATTTCTGTTTACACTGAATGGGAAATATCATATTGTTCTCTGTGGTTATGCCATTTGCGAAACAACCCGGGGTTAGGGGTTTATTCACTAAACACAAAATTGGTATTTCGTAAAATGCGCTTTTGGGAAAGGACTCCAGCCTAGCTATAGTCACAGCAAGGCCTAAGTCTAATTCTTGTAATTTCCTCATTAATTCAGTACAATGTAGTTTTCAGTAAATAAGCCCCTTTGCGTTTTACAGGAGCATGTACAAATATTACCCATTTTAACATAAGCATTTTTACTTTTCAAATTGCTGCCATTAGGAATAAGGAATAATTATGATGTTTTCTATACTCTGTACTGAAATTTATAGTGTGTTCTTGGGATATAATTTCAATTTTAATTGAAAGTTTTACGTAAAATAACCATAGATATTTTGTATGAGTTCTGTTTCTGTGTAAATCATTTGTGTAGTGTTTTCCATACATCTTGAATAGCTTTGTACACAAAAGCAGTAAGACTCAATCACCTTTAAGGATTGGCTTTATAGCTGCAACTTTAGCAGCAGGCCTTGAAATGTCTGTGTTTAGTTTGTCTGGTTTTAATTCCGTCATTTGGACTCTCCTCGTAGTGGAAATCTGCAGGTCATCTGAAGGGACATCAACCAGTTCATTCTTGATTGGACATAACTTGAAAGCAACAGACAATGTGGAGGATGGGTTTATCAGCACAGAAGTGGAAGGTAAAGGTTGTGATGTTGATTCGACCTCTATGCCTACATGTGATGAATCAGGTGACTGTTGTCTTGGAGAAGCCCTGATTCTGGGGTCTAAATTGGATTTAAAAAAATGTAATAAAAAATTCAATAATTATTCACAGATAGACATGTTTACTTAACATCATAAGAAAGCTCCTTTTCAGCATTACCAGTGTAATGCCATGTTCTGTGAGTTGATACATATCAAATTTATGAAAGGACATTTTGACATGACAACAACGGAACAGCTTAGAAAGCCTTATTAAGAATAATGTAACAATCTCTCTCAATTTACCTTAAAAACAAAAACAAAAACAAAAACATGGAAAGTAACGTTCATCTACATGTGTCAGAATTTGTCTCATCTGCACCCTAAATGTATCTATAGGAATTCAGATAAATGCCCAGAGTATTTAACAGCCACACACATATCTGTTGACTGTAAAATATTCAGAGAAGCGGCTGATTAATTTAGAACTAGTATCAAATATCAATCAACCAATATAAGAACATGTTCTACCTTCATTACAGAAATGTATACTGGAAGTCAGAGATACAGTATTCCAATTAATGCTACTGTAGGGCCTTACATGTGGACTAAAGAGCGGACTTCCATCTGATTAAAATGTATATACAGTGCAATCAGAAATTATTCAGACCCCATCTTTTTTTCATTATTTTTATGTTGCAGCCTTACACTACGATTGTTTAAAATATAAAAAATTTTTATTAAATTAACTATATAATATAAAGACAAGATTGATAAGATCATTGTTAAGGATCTGGGGGAGCCTCTCCAATATACAGACAAGATTGAGAAGATTGTTGTTAAGAATTTGGGAGACTTAAATATAACAAATGAACTGGATTGCAGGTGTTCATGAGAGAAAAATTCAATAATATGTATACCAAGAAATTATACTTCTGATGTAACCATGGGAAAAATGAAAACAAGCCAGCTGAATCTATGAACAGACAGTATATTGCCAAGACTGCTCAAAGTGTGAGTGTGTGAGTGAGTGTGTGTATTGTTTTTTTCCCTCTCTCTCCAAAGAGCTACTGGTAGATTGCTCACGTTAAAATGCTGGATTTGTGCCAGATTTCCTAGTGGGGAATCTGCAAAGTGCCTAGGGAAGCAATGTCAGGTTCAGTCTTGCTTGGTCCTAATTGGAAAGTTAGCGAGAATGTAGGTCCTGATCTGGCTTCAGTACAGAAGAGGAAAGTTGGGCTATAGATTCATGCTTAACCCCTTCAGGACGGGTGACGGACGAGGTCTGTCACAGAGGGGAGACCCTTAACGACGGGTGACGGACCTTGTCCGTCACGCGGTAAAATTAACCCCGGATCGCCGCTATCGCGGGGTTAATGGTGCTCCCGGTATGCCTCTGCATTAGAGGCATACCGGGAGCACCCGGTCAGGCTGCCCAGCACATGTGCTCGCTCTGACAGCATGTCAGAGCGAGCACATGTGCTGCATATACTCACCTACCGGCTCCCTGCACTTCCGGGTTCTCTGTGAAGTGCAGGGAGCCGGATCAGTGATGATCCTGCCCCCTGCTGGAAAAAAAAATAAAATTAATTTAAAGTGTCCCCCCCCCCCTTACCCATTTTAATAAAAAATTAACCCATTCCCTGCCAATTGATCACTGACTACAGTGATCAATTGGCAGGGATTACATTTTACTATGATCTGATTTTGACCTGAGGGTTAATTCTTTTTTTTTTTTTTTAACCCTCAGGGGTTAAATTAAATTAAATTAATTAAATTATTTTTAAATTATATATTTAGATAGCTGGGGTGGGTGGAAGTTAGTGGGGAATTGGGGGATTTGGCGTAAGGCTAACTAGGGGTTAACGTTAAAAAAAGTTTTAAAAGAAACTTTAAAAAGTTAAAAATTAAGCTTAAAAAAATGTTTTAATAACATTTAAGTAAAAAAAAACAAAAAACACACACTTTACCTAGTCCAAATAAAAATTAACCCCTTCCCTGCCAGTCGATCACTGCCTACAGCGATCAAATAGAGATCACAGTATTATACTGATGATCTAATTTTTTTTAACCCCTGAGGATTTATTTTTTTAACCCTCAGGGGTTCAATTTATTTAATTAATTAATTTAAATATTTTATAACTATATATTTTGCTAGCTGGGGTGGGTGGGAGTTATGGGAAAATCGGGAATTTACTGTTAGTGCTGCGTACTGCTAGTTAGGGGTTAACGGTAAAAAAAAAAGCTTAGAAAAATGTTAAATCTGTAAAAAAGTTTTAAGAAAGTTTAAAAAAAATTTATAAGCAAAACAAAAGTTTAAAAACTAGTTTTTAAAAGTAAAAAAGTTATAAAAAGTAAAAAAATACATTTTAAAAACGCTCATTACCACTACACCTGGAACAAACTAGAGAAAAAATTATCCCACGCCAAGGTTCAAAATATGCCTTTTGAATTAACCCAGGGTGTATTCTTTAATAAATAGTATGTGTTTGTGGGGAAGTTTCAATAACCAACCGTCTAAACTACTCCAAATTGGAACATGGACACAGCGTAAAACTTCAAAGTTAGAAAAAAACTGAATGGCTGCGTCTCAAATGCGCCCCTTCAACATCCACATATACCTGGCAAAGGTACATACGGGGGTATTGCTGTACTCAGCCGACATAGCTGAGCAACATATGACGTATTATACAGTCATAGCACACATAAAGTTTGCAAAATATGCTGCGCAAACTCACTTTGTATGTCAAAAAGGCAGAAAAAATGCTTATTACCACTACACTTGGTACAAGCTAGCGGAAAAATGATCCCACGCTAAGGTTCAAAATATGCCTTTTGAAATACCCTGGGATGTCTTCTTTAAGAAATGGTATGGCTTTATGGGGAATTTGGATTATATAGCCTGGTAAAATACTCTAAAATGGGACATAGGCACAGCATAAAAATTCAAAGTTTGAAAAAAACTGGAATGGCTGTGTCCCAAATGTGCCCCTCCGATGTCCACACATACCTGGCAAAGGTACATACGGGGGTATTGCTGTACTCAGCCGACATAGCTGAGCAACATATGAAGTATTATACAGTCGTAGCACACATAAGGTTTGCAAAATATACTGTGCAAACTCACTTTGTATGTCAAAAGGCAGAAAAAACGCTTATTACCACTACATCTGGTACAAGCTAGCGGAAAAATGATCCCACGCTAAGGTTCAAACTATACCTTTTGAAACACCCTGGGGTGTCTACTTTAAGAAATGGTAGGCCTTTGTGGGGTAGTTTGAATTTAAAACCTGCGAAGATGCTTGGAAATTGCACATAGGCCCAGCGTCAAAATTCAAAGTTTGGTAAAAACGGATATGGCTTGGTCTCCTATATGGCACTGTAGCTTCACAAAATAGTGCCAAAGACATTCATTGGGGGTGTATTTTTACTCAAAAGACTTAGCTGAGCATAATTTGGGAGGTTTGAACTTAGTGGCACATATGAAATATACAAAACGCCCAGCAAAAATGCAATCCGTATGTAAAAAATGCACAAAATTTTTTTTTACCACATACTTTGGCATATATTGGTGAAAAAATGGGGGCATGTTAAGGCACAATATGCACCTTATAAGATACCCTGGAGTGTCTACTTTTACAAATGGTAGGCCTTTGTGGGGGTTTTTTGAACAGTCAAACTGTTATAATACCCCAAATGGAAGCTAAGGCTCATTAAATCCATCTCTCAAAATTCTACTGTGAATACTGAAAAGGACAGGTATCCTGTATGGCACTGTAACTTCACGAAATAGTGCAAAAGACATACAATGGGGGTGTCATTTTACTCAGCAGATGTAACTGAACACAAAATAAAACTTTGTACAGGAATAGCACACACCAACTTTACAAAATATACACGAGAATTTCTCTGTTATAAGTTTGTGTGCCAAAAACCAAAAAGAACACAATTTTACTCCAATATTTAGCAGAGGTTGGCGGTGAAATGGCTACGTAGAAAGTGTCAAAACAACCTTAGGTAAATAGCCCGTGATGTCTACTTTATATAAATATATACTTTTGTGTGGCAATTTTGTTTTCTTTTATGGCTATTAAGCTTACAAGACAAACATACCAAATTCTAAAATCGCTCCACATTAAAAGTTTATTTTACTCCTTGTGCTTTGTGACCTGTAACTACCAAAAAAAACTTAAAATCCCAGACACATTATATATTCTGTAAATCAGAACAAATAAATAAATTTATTTTTAATTACTTTCCTTAACCTGCACTAATTATGCACACATTATTATTGCAAAAACTGTAAAAAAAAAACAATATTTTTCATTTTTTTTGCATTTTTCTGTATTTTTTTTATAATAAGTAAGCATTTATATATATATATATATATATATATATATATGTTATATCAAATTAAAGCCCTTTCTGTCCTTTAAAAAACAGTATATAATATGTGTCGGTGCAATAAATGAGAGAGATGCAAATTGCAGTTGAACGCAAACAGCAAGAAAATGCAAAAATTGCTTGTGTCATTAAGCGTAAGTCAAGCTTCTGAAGCTGTGTCCTTAAGGGGTTAAAGCCAATACATGACGTGTCAGATGTTGATTGGCTTGGAGTAACTCTGTTTCTGGGGTCTTAATAAAATAAAAAATAGTCAAAGATTACTAATCTTCATAAATACATTTACTAAACATCATAATTACTCTGAAAACTATGTTACAAGCTATAATCCTACCCAATGAAATGCCAAGTTCTCTATGACCCAAGACATTCAAGGCTGTGATGACATAGAACAGTTTGGCTACAACACTGTTCTAATGGTTAGTATTTAACACAATGGGTCAACACTCTGATTTTAAACAGCGTAGAAAGTGAAATTAAGTAGAATTGCATAAATAAAATAGAAACTTGCATCAGCAGATTTGCAAATGAGTCAAGTTCGATTATATTTCTCAGGAGTGAGCATCAAATGCATTCACTGTGTTTATCCGCACCCTCACAGATCCTTATATTTATAGCAGGTGTCCAGGTAAGCACCAGAATATATTACAGCTACACACTGTGCATTCAGCATGTTTGGAAAAATAGACTTCAACTCACAATTGGCACCAAGAGAAATGGACGCATGGAGGGTTGCTAGACTTTAGTAATGAAATGGACACTGAATTTATGGGGTTATTGGCATTACACCCACTTCACATTCTGTAAAAATGATTTCCATATACAGAATATAAATTCTCTTTTCAAGTCATACAATCAAAGTTGTATAAAATAATGTAAAAATCAGTTACCTTGTAACGCTGTTAAAACTGTAACTAAAGCAGCCAGCCCTGAGGAGTCCACACACATTGTGTCCACTCTGCCGCTGGTAGACTGTTCAGGTTTCGATGCAGGGGATCTGGCACATTCCAATGCAGAAGTTTGCATGGTATCTGAAGAAGCAACACCGGATTCATCCTTCGTTGGACTTAATGGGGAAGTCATGGAGGATTTGGAGAACTGTGAGTCCTGATCTACCTTCAGTACACATATGGAAGGTAAAGGCTGGGATATAGATTCATGCTGGGTGCCAATACATGATGCATCAGATACATGTTGTCTTGGAATAGCCATGATTCTGGGGTCTTAATTTAAAATTAAAAATAACAATAATTGGAACACTGTTAAAATAACCATAAACATGTTTGATACTGGCAGCAACCCCTTTTTAGTTTTCCATACAAAAAACAAGATCAATTAGCATAACAATTATTAAAAAAGTGTATAGGTACAAAAGCAGGTGTATATCATGTTTATATCTGCAATCTCCTCCTTATTCATGGCTAAAGATGCTGCTGAGACCTGGATGAGCAACTATTTGACAAGATGCCCCATTTAGCAGTATAGACCAATCAGACATGTTATAATCTGCCCTAACATGATTTCTGATATTAGCCCAGTGGTTTCCAAACCAGTCCTCACAGCACCCCTACCAGTCCAGGATTTAGGAATGACCCAGTTATGTCTAAGGTGTTTTTAGAAAATAAAAATAAAACACCTTAGACACAACTGGGCAATTCCTAAATCTTGCACTGGCAGGGGTGTTTTAAGGACTGGTTTGGGAACCACTGCATTAGCATTTCAATTTGGCTATCAAATACTGGATGTAGCGGAGAGGAACTATTAAATGCAATATCTCCGCTGGTAGACGTAATCAGCATTCAAATAAAGTGTAGCGAGACAATTCCAATCCCATTCCCCAACAACTGGACGATACACAGCTTTGGGAGTCAACTGATTTTTATTCAGTAATTACATTCCATGGGTTTCCCCCTGATGGACCTTGTGGAGGACAGTAAACAAAGACACATTTTCCAGGATCCTGTCCTGTACTTGGAAGATAATCTAATTAAATAATTGTCCTTACGCAATTATCTCCCAAGTACAGAAAATGAAACAATATTTTAAAATAACATAACTCCCATAATATTAATCAGAACCACTTCCCCGAATAGCAGGGATCTGAGCGCCCAATCTGTCGAAATACCGCTCAGATCCGTTCTGTAGAACAGGAATGCCATTAGAGTGAAGTTTAGACCGGTCAACCACGAGGTGAAGCCCTAAAAGAGTTCCATGCGATTGAATGCTTTCACCCGTCTTCTTTCGGGAGTTCTCACAATTAAACTAACGAATTCAAGTGTTCATAAACTGGGTAGTTGTGTGCCTGCTGGTCGTTCAATTCAGTCGAATGCTGCTTTTCTAGACGAACGGGAAATGCTAGTACGAACAGGATGGAAGTTCAGCAGTGTTCTATATTCATCCATTTTATAAAATAAATACATAAAAGTTTAGTACTAAACCCCCATCCTGACTAAAATACTAATGTACACCTTTATTACCTTGAATGGTTGGTTTTATAGCAGTAACTGTGGCAGAAATAGTGGTATTGAAAATGCTGTTGAATGTTTTGGGTGCTGATATGGCAGAATCTGCAGAGGATGTCTTCTTGGTATCCACAGAATTATTTTCAGATAAATGGAAAGTAAATGAGGGCTGTTTATAGGATGTGCCAGGATCATCCTATCCTTAGGCTGCTAGAGTAGGACCTGCCAAGAATGGGGTACACTGACATTGTGGCAGGCTTATGCAATATAGGATCATATAAAGTAAATAAACCCCCATTATTTTTTGCCTAGCTGAGGTGTTTTTAAATAAAACTGTTACCATATGTGAGATTTGAAATAATTATTTAGTGAATAAGCAAGTGCACTGGATTCTGTATTTTGTATGTCATATACAGAGAGATTGAGATTGTAGCCATATTAGTACAGTGATGTAGATGCAAAAAAAGATAAAATTTGTATCTTGTAATACCTTTTTTATTGATAGAAAATAGACAACATTCTTGCAGAGGGTCATAAATATCTTTCTGACCCTCTGCAAGAATGATGTCTATTTTCTATCAAACCTGTGTCTTATCTGCACTCATGTCACTTTAATCTCTGTATCACAACTTTGAATTCGATGTGTCGTCTTTCTCAGAAATGCTTCAGACTTCAGAAAGGGAGATTCTCCCGAAAGCTTGTCATTAACAAATTCTGTTAGTCCAATGAAATAGGAATTACAAGATATGAATTTTATCTATTTTTTTCTTTATATATATATTTATTTATATTTATATTATTTTCTAGGATTGTGTACTGAAACATTTGCACAGAAGATGGGAAGAACCTGCCTAAGTCCAGATGGGAGGTACCACAACTATAGTTAAGAATGACTGGGCTACGATCCTGTAGGACTTCCAGATCCAGACAGACAAGTAAGTACTGAACAACCAACCTAATAATGTTGTGGTAGGAATGAAAGACTGCAGCAGTGGTTGATGTGGCAATACCAAATTACTATAATATCAAGAAGAAGGAACATGAGAAGGTGGACAAATACCAAGGACTGAAAGGAGCTAAAATGGATGTGTGAAGGCAGTGGTTGTCCCAGTTGTAGTAGGCGCACTCCAGGTTGCAGTGACTTCAGCAGATTCCGGTGGGACATCTGAGATCTCAGCTAAGATACTGCACAGGACGAGGTTATATATATGGACAATACTGAATAATAGATATTAGAAGAGCAGGTCCAGCAGCTTTCTGCCTCCTCTCTTTACATGCTATAGGAGAGAGACAATTGCAGCCATTAGCCCTGCAAAGGTTACTTCATTCAGCTCAAAATCTTCCTACAGAGAGTACAGGTAGGGATGATGGGAAAAAACATAGTGCGTGGTTTCCCTCTTTCTGTGCAGCCAGTGTGTGCCTATCTATGCATGCCTGTGTCTGTTTATCCCGGTCTGTACCAGTGCAGCCTGTGCCTATCTATGTGTGTCTGTGACAGTGTAGTCTGTGTGTGTTTGTGCCTATGTAAGTGTAGCCTGCCTGTGTGTGTTTATTCTATGTATGCTAGTGTATGCTTTGTATTTCATGCAAACTACTAAACAAAAATTAAATTGAAATTTGGAAAAAAAACAAGACAATAAAAAAAACACACATACACAACTTAGAATACCTTTTTTCGGGCTTGTTTCCATGGAACTAGGTTTAATAACATAAGCATTATTCAGACAGGAGGGAGTGCTTTTAAACAGCCCTTGTAAGTTGAATGATTTTTTTGAATCTGTGACGGATTCTTTCTGATCTAATGCAGAGTATATTGGACATGGTATTTGGTCTTGAATTGATTCTGATGAGGTTTGGGAAAGACATGGCTTGGTTTCAGAGTTAATGGTATTGCCATTGCTTGGTATCACAGACTGAGTGCCAGCAGCGGTGGAATCTTAAAAATATAAAATTATATAGTGGAAAAAAATAAATTACATAGGTGATATGATGTATTATGGGAAAATAATGCAGAAAAATGATTCTGTAGACATCATAATAAACAACTAGACGGGTCTGCTGCAATTGATAGGAAATGCACTAACATGCAGTAGTAGCTATTTGCACCTACCCACTCCAGTTTAGGTCCTATACCAATAGTGATATGCCAATCAGAAAGTCTATGGAGACAGAATCATATTGTTTCAGTCTCCCCAGTTCCTCTCCCAACATTGCATTACTGATAGTGGGCTAAATGAATTAAAATGACAGCAGTTGCAAATTGTAGCTGATGCCTGTGAGTGTAAATGTTGGGCATTTAGAGGTCTCTGGACTATATGGTGGAGTTTATCCATGCTATACATGGACAATGCCACCCACATGTAGTGCAGAATTTGAAAAACATGCTATACAATGAAAAAAAATATTAACCAAATACGTATATTTAATTACATTACTATTTTGTCTTCTTAACATGGAATATGTTAAAGTAGCTGAACATTTTAAAGATTTTTGACAATACTACAAGAGTTTTCAGGCCATATTTCATACAATCACGTAATTTTAACAATAGTGTAATCTAGAAACTAGTTATCACTTTACCTGCTTGTTGATCAAGACCACTTAAAGAGGTATGGCACTCACTGACTGCACTTTTTCCAGTACTCTGTGAAGCAGCAGACAAACACACCTGAGGAGACAGAGTTCAGGTTCAGTTATTTTTCCCAATGTCGTTCAGCACAAAATCCAGCGTATATTAAGTCATACATAAAAAAGGGGTGTTGGGGGGGCGGAGCCTGACCACAAGTAGCTTGAGCTCCTGCATTTATCGCTGAAAATAACCTTTTTGAACCTGATTCTGGGGCTTATTTGCTCAAACCTTGACATATCCACAAGCAGGGTAGCCAGGGCAAGCGGGATCATACCTTTCTTGGACATTTCCACCAACGAGTGCCCGAGGATCGTGTTGTGGCCTACTGGGGCCCCATCCCCGGACCAGTGGGGGTCATACCGGTCCTCTCAGTGCGGACAGACCTGGCTTGCAAATACTTACCACACCAAGCGAGAAACAGAAATCGGGAGTTGTATTCACGTGGCATGAGTCCCCCCCAGAAAACTCCTAGCGACGCTGTTGCAAAGTACCAAATGTGGCTTTACCGCCATTTTCAACGTTTCTGGCTCACGCTCCAGCACTGTATGACAACTACTATAGCCGAACAACGGGACAAGTGGCCAGAGACAAAGGGGCCTACTTGCAGTGAAAAGCTTCATAGAAAACCTGTGCATCCTGTTCTATGGGGCCACAGGGGGCTTGTATGCCCTGCATCGAACACCAAGGGGGAGGATAGTCCGCATTAAGCTGCACCTGTCACCCCGATCCTCTGACCACCCTCAACAGGGGATTGTCTCGGACTTCAATGGAAACCGAGCCTGTGGCACGCAGATGCCGGTCCTCCTCAAGGCCTGGGGCTGGAGAGGCACCCGATCCTGGCACCAAGTTCCCTCAAGGAATACAACCATGCTGCCACCCGCGGAAGTCGGCTGAGTCTGGCAGATTACTAATGGACAGCCCCCTCTATTCAGCAGCACCATACCCAACAATAGCAAAGCATCACCACTTTACTCCTATTTCTGTTGATTCATTTTGGTGCATACCTGCATAAGAACACATGGGTGTAGTGTAAAAGTGTTATAATGTCAGCCTGAGGTTCCCTTCTTGAAACCAGCTTGTTACTTATTGTTTCTTTACATGTCTGCCTAGCATGGTTGTTACTGCTTTACATATATACCGTCTCTAAAAAATAAAAAAATAAAAATGTGCAGTTCTGCTTGACATTTTGTGCTCTAACACGAAGACTATATTCAAACTCTTGCAATGCAACATATGTCACTGTTATATTGTGTATACTTCACTGCACTACAAAATAAAACATTTTTTTTTTTTTTTTTTTAAAAGGGGTTTTAATACATGGTACTAAAACATATGTTTTCCTTTTCATAAATCAATGGTAAGACCCCCATCTTGAATAAATGGTGCAGTTTTAAAGAAGGATGTTATAATACTAGAAACAGTTGACAGACGTCAAATGCTGGTACAGCTTCTCCCTCCCTGCTGCTCAGGGTCCTCCCTCAGCTCTGCCTCCTCGGCATCCCTGCGTGATGTCACGGACGGAGGATTGGACCTTAGGGAGTACCTTGCCATGGTGCAGGATTGCAGGTAAGTCTTCTTTTAATTTTGTTATAGCTGCCAGCAAGGGTTACGCCAACCAAAAACAGTGTTTCATTAAAACACTGTTTTTGGTTGGAGTAACACTTTAAGTAACTATTTGGGATTATCCAAATGAATAAAAAAATTTTTTTTATCAGTTTACAGTAGAAGCACCATGTGTATCTGACTTCCAAACAATTGAGTATATTGCAAACATACATACATCACATAATTATATCCAGCTTACCTGCGTTTGTGTATCTTTCATGGTAAAAAATTTTAACGCTCTCTGGAATGTATTTGTAATACTTATGAGGAACTCTAAATCTGAGTGGCATGTGATTTTAAACTTTCTCTAAAAATTAAAAACAAATAAACAACTTTTAGATACCTTTTTACACACCTATAGAGCATTCAAATGTTGTTAACCATATATAAACATTTATATACACAATGTTTTATTTAACACCGATTATATGGTTACTAAAGGAAACCAAACCTGCAAATGTTATTGCTACAAATTTACAATGCTATGTGTAGAGGGTAGTGATGTCCCGAACTGTTCGCCACTGACTCCAGTCAGCTGACACATTCCAGCCAATCAGCAGCAGACCCTCCCTCCCAGACCCTCCCACCTCCTGGACACATCCATTTTGAAGCTGCATTCTTAGTGAGCTGTCCAGGAGGTGGAAGGGAGGGTCTGCTGTTGATTGGCTGCAATGTGTCAGCTGACTGGAGTCCACGCGAACCGTTCGTGAACAGTTCGGGACATCACTAGTAGAGAGCCATTTTCACCACTCAGGGAATCGAGATTAGGAGTTGATATTATCAGCAGGTACCACCAGGGCTGTCTTTAACGCGGGGCAAAAGGTGCAGCTGCCCATTCAGCCAGCTGGCTGCTGTGGTGTGTGGAACTACCACTGCGGGCCACACGATGAGGGGGCCCATTTTCTAAGGTCTATCCGATGGCAGTGTATTTTGGGGGCCCGGTTGCACTCTTAAAGTGCTGCAGCACTGCCTCCCAGCATTCACCGAGCGTCACACAGGAGGAGGAGAGAAGGGAGTCAGTGTAGGAGCTCTGACGCCCATCAGCCTGAGCCAGCCACTGGACCCCAGGTATGTGTGTGTCTGTCTGTATCTGTGTCTATATGTGTATGCGTATCTGTGTGTCTCTGTATATGTATCTGTGTGTATCTGTATGTGTGTGTGTGTGTCTGTGTATCTACATGTGGGTCCATGTATGTGTATGTATGTTATTGTGTGTATCTGCATGTTTGTCAGTGTATTTGTCTGTTTACCTGCATGTTTGTCAGTGAGTGCATCTGTGCATCTTGTATGTTTGCATCTGTATATGTGTCAGTGTGTGTATTTTGTCTCAGTGAAAAATGAGTGCGGCTAAGTGTGCGTGTTTTTGTTGTTGTTGTGGGGGTGGAGGGTGTGATTGCATGCTAGGTACAGGGGGCCCAAGCAAATGCCTGCCCAGGGTCCAATCAATATTAAAGACCTCCCTGGGTACCACATATGAATCCTACAATCCTATGTTACTGAAATGGTTTATAGTTATCTTCCAGTAATATGTTAATGAGTATTATTTGTAGTGTTTTGCAGTACAATATGCACAACTAGCCATTCCTACTTGACCACCAGGGAACGCATTGAAAGAGCATAATCCCAGTAAAGTTTACACCTCGAAGCAATGAACTATAACGGACACACCTGTGAAAATAGAGGTATACTTACCAAGTACATATATAAATCCGCATTCGTTTTAATTTTAAAAGGCACATTAGTTTTGGTATTCTAGAATTCAAAAGGAAATAAGAAAACTTTAAAACAGGTAGCACCTTAAATAACTATTACACAACATCTTCTTAACATGTCACACTCTAAAGTGTGGAACAGGATCATCACAGGATATTGATCCAACAGAATGATCATAAAAGTTCACCGGTATTTAAACTGTCTCTGAACTATATGGAAATATCCACAGGTATCAGCCTAATACCTAATTATATATCTATTAATGTAATTTAAAATATGAATTATCTTAAGAGTCAGAGATATACTACTTACATGGCAGAAGCTAATGGCAGCTTGGAAGAAAATAAATATAAAAAAAGGAAATAGTCATTGTTTACACAAAATACAAAAATTATAATTTGGACAATATTTTCATAGGAAAATATTGCCCTGCGCAACATGCAATTAATTCTTGCAGAGCTCATTGGTTAGTTTAGTGATGATGTGAATGCTTTATAAAATATTAAATATGACCCTGACATAAAACAGCCACTTGTGAAGATGCAATGGCATACAACAGATGCGTCACTATCACTGGGAACATGCAATTCAGAGAGTCTATGCACATGCACAATCTTTTTTACATTTAATATGACATGTCATTGTCTTACCTCCTGATTGCTCCTTTCTGACTCACGTTTAGCTTCTTCACTCCTGTGGGACAAATGGTTTTAATGGTTTTGGAATTCATCAGAACTGACTTTGATTTTTACCTTCTGTGTCTATTCCTATTATGCAACTATATTTTTTACAATGAGAATTGTTTCACAAGCAGGATCCACTACAGTACTTAATCAAGTTTAAGAGCAGTATCCTTAACGAAAGTACAAGCTCACCCACAGCATTCTATGAATACTTTTTCAGGAGCTGCATATGTGGATGTATTAATTAACCTCACTGTGGCTTCTATTACTTAGCCTTATTAGCTGTAAACAGGTTATGATTCCAGCTGACGGCTGGGTTTTCAGCAACTTAGTCCTACATATGTCCTATTTCTATAAAAATGCTGAACAAATTATACATAAAGTTTGAACAGAAAAATAATAGTCCATGAGGATTGGGTTCAGCTAGTTCATGGCCTGGTGAGCACTCATTGGAGAAGCTGCAGATTTGTATTAAACTTCAAATCATTAATATTTTTTTTTTAAATACAGGTGCACATACACAAACTTTAATCTCCTGAATATCACCAGAGGGAAAAAACAAAACAAACAAAGAAAAAAAGAAAAGGAATACCATATATACTCAAGTATAAGTCTAGTTTTTCAGCACATTATTTGTGCTGAAAAACCCCCACTCGACTTATACTCGAGTCAGTGTCTGTATTATGGCAACTTACATTGCCATAATACAGACCAGGACCGCCAGGCTCATTACAAGCCCGGGCTGGCAGATAGCTGTTACTTACCTTCCTGCAGCTCCTGTCAGCTCCCTTCTCCTCCACTGTAAGTCTCGCGGTGTGACTGCTGCGCGGAGCGTTGCCACGGTAACCTGTGGCAACGCTCTGACCCCGCGGCTCTCGCGAGACTTGCAGTGGAGCTGATAGGACCAGAGGAGAAGGGAGCTGACAGGAGCTGCGGGAAAGGTAAGTAACAGCTCTCTGCCAGCCCCCCTCCTACACAGCCCATCCACTGGACCACCAGGGAATAAGAGCCCCCCCTCCCTGGCCAGCTAACAAGCAGGGAGGGGGGATGAAAATAAAAATTAAATAATAATAAAAAAAAATATTACAATAAAAAAATGAAAATATTAAAATTAAAAAAGTAAATAAAATACTAAAATAAAAAAATTAAAATATTAAAATTAAAAATAATAAAAATGCCCTCCCCCACCCAGTTCACACACAAACACACACTCACACAAACACACCCTCTGCATTGTATACACACACTGCATTATACACACACTCATACAAACACACACTCTGCATTATATACACACACACACTTTGCATTATATAATGCAGAGTGTGTGTTTGTATGAGTGTGTGCGTGTATAATGCAGAGTGTGTGTACGAATGTGTGTGTGTATAATGCAGAGTGTGTGTACGAGTGTGTGTGTATAATGCAGAGTGTGTGTGTGTATAATGCAGAGTGTGTGTACGAGTGTAATGCAGAGTGTGTGTACGAGTGTGTGTGTATAATGCAGAGTGTGTATGAGAGTGTGTGTATAATGCAGAGTGTGTGTGCATAAGGCAGAGTGTGTGTATGAGTGTGTGTGTATGAGAGTGTGTGTATAATGCAGAGTGTGTGTATGAGTGTGTGTGTGTATAATGCAGAGTGTGTGTATGAGTGTGTGTGTGTATAATGCAGAGTGTGTGTTTGTATGAATGTGTGTGTATATAATGCAGTGTGTGTGTTTGTAATTATGGGAGTGTGTGTGTATATAATTATAAAAAAAATCACAGAATTTCATAGCCCCAAGTTTTACCCTCGAGTGTGTGTGTATATAATTATAAAAATCACAGAATTTCATAGCCCCAAGTTTAACCCTCGACTTATCCACGAGGCATAGCATATTTCACAATTGTTGGTCACAAAACTGCACTCGACTTTACATGAGATCGACTTATACACGAGTATATACGGTATATATATATATATATATATATATATATATATATATATATATATATATACACACACACACACATATATATATATATATATAAATAAACACACACACACACACACCCTGACACAACTAATAACAGACAAACAAAGGTGACTACAATATCAACTCCACTTTGCTAATGCATAACATCTTGACTGAAAATAATCAACATTGACACATGATGTGGATGACTGTTTCAAACAAGGACTTTTCCAGCTTCATGGACTAGTTTACCGTAAACAAAAACAAACCACAGTAATTGGGATTTGCGAGCAGAAGAATAAAACACATGCACTAAACATTGAAACTAATGCTTGATTTAGCCTATTAGAAAATAGGTAGTCAATTGATAAAATCAATCAAATTTGGGCAGCATCACTAACAGAGCGACTTCTCATATATGTAAAACAACAAGTAAATACTAGTGAGCGCACCAAAATAAGAATAAAAATGAAGTTTAATCACAAATTCAATGGGAGCAGCAATCTGATAGGGTCTTTGAACCTAAGAATAGTCTAAAGCAGGGGTTTCCAATTAATTTTTCCCGTGGAACCCTTTGACATAGTGTATCAACATCGTGGAAGCAGGCAGCGAGCTCTGATCTCCCTGCTCAGCTCCCTCGCGCGCCTCTTAGTGATGCCGGAGTGACGTCATATTCCGACTCCGGCATCACTGCTGTGCGTGCGAGGGAGCTCACTGCTCCCTCGATGCCATTTTATTTTCAAATTTTTGGGCGGAACCCCAATTTGTGTTCCGCGGAACACCAATTGGGAAATGCTGGTCTAAAGGAATAAACCCAAAGTAAGTGGTGAATCACCTATACACAGTAAATATGGCGAAGACACAATGCAACACTAAAAGTGTATCAATAGTGCATAGATAAAGATCAATATAACGAAGTAAAAAATAATTGAATATTGGTATAATCAAAAAACATAAAATCAATAAGACAGTCTCGGAACAGCAAGCCACGGTTATTGTGTACTCCTGTCACTCTCCGTAGGGGGCCCCTCACACAGATGAAACTCCGGAGTAGTGTTAAGTCTCGTTCCTGCCGTCCACAAGTCCTGGAAGATTCACGCCAAAATTAGGGTGAGGATATGGGGACAGAGAGCTCAAACCTCCAATACCCCAGAGCGAGCTGCCGGGGCATCTGACAAAACCATGCCACCTATAAAAGGAAGGCCATCAGCTCCGGCAGTCCACCTGGTTAGTGTCGAACCTCACCGGGTTGGTGGAGCACGCCAATCTGTGCACCCGTATACTCTCCACACTACCATTATACCAATACCGCGTGCGGAAGCTTCAAAAAAGGCCATGGTAAAATTAAAAAGACAGCTCCTGTAGAAAACTCCCTGATGGCTGCGGTATTGGTATATTGGTAGTGTGGAGAGTATACGGGTGCACAGATTGGCGTGCTCCACCAACCCGGTGAGGTTCGATACTAACCAGGTGTGCTGCCGGAGCCGATGGCCTTCCTTTTATAGGTGGCATGGTTTTGGCAGATCCCCCGGCAGCTCGCTCTGGGGTATTGGAGGTTTGATCTCTCTGTCCCCATATCCTCACCCTAATTTTGGCGTGAATCTTCCAGGACTCGTGGACGGCAGGAACGGGACTTAACACTACTCCGGAGTTTCATCTGTGTGAGGGGCCCCCTACGGAGAGTGACATGAGTACCCAATAACCGTGGCTTGCTGTTCCGGGACTGTTTTTCTTATTGATTTTCTTTTTTGATTGTACAGGCATTTAATACTTTGCTATACTGATCTTTATTTATGCACTATTGATACACTCTTAGTGTTACATTGTGTCTTCAGCATATTTACCCTGTTTAACCTTTCTATTCTCTAGCTGTTCCGTGTAGTTAAAAAAAAATAATTCTTAACTTTAATGTTTACGAGTCAAACTTATATACTTCATATTTACCAATTATTCTTTTTCTTGCAACATGTTTCATAATCATTTGTTCCTAAAAAGTAAAAAAAAAAGTTTGATATATTTCACGAATCTATTCAAGCTTTTTAAAAAAACGAAACGATTAAGCAAGTTAAATTGGGAGAGAAACAGGGTAAATAGCCAAGCTATGCCTTAAATGGAGTTTAAGAATTTTTCCAAGTCCGTTATTTTGGTTTGAATTTTGCATTTACTTTTCAATACACCACAATTCACTGTTTTTAGAATACACACCATAGAAGCCAGCCTGGAAAAATGGCCAACTTTATTTTTCTAACAACTTATTGGTTAGTTCCCAGTTTAGTGAATAACGTTCTGTGTTATGTTGAAAGAAGACGGGAGTTGCATGTGCTGGGTGATTTTTGCCTTTTGCACCTCCCTATGTAACTTATCATGATCGCTTTTCTTGACATTGACAAGCATTTTGTTCCACTGTTCTTTTTATTTCAAATAAATAGAAAAACATTTTGTCAAGGAAGCTTTTAGCATAATAACTCAAATTATTGAGTATTTCAGCAAAACAGTTTCAACAAGCATGATTAGGATGTAAATGGCATAAATAGTGGTTGGCAGATTTCATAAATGTTACTTTGGAGAAAAAAAAACAGCACAAAAAAACTAAGTAAGAAAGCTCCCTTTCAAACCTTTTACTGACATTTCTGATAAACATAAAAAGAAAAAAAAAAGTTGGTTTTCTCCTCTAGCTACATTTATCAAGTATATGCATCAGGAGTGACTAGAATGCAAAGCATGTAATTTTATAGGTGTGTGGGCAAATATAGAAATATTCAGTTAAAAAGAGAGATTCACACCCTTAAAGTGAAAGTGACAGTGCAACCGGTTACATTTAACACCTTAACCTTTCTCCTCCTAGATATTCCAAGATACATGCCCAAATTTAAACGGAAACGAATAATGCATATTATCCTGACTGGACAGCAGCTCATAGCGAGAGCCTGGAAAACCAATACGATTCTGCAGTTGTCCAGATTACAACAAGCAATATGGATATGAGCGTTGCTTCACCTTGTGGGCCCCCTTAGTGTGCGGGTGGCGGTACAGCCGCAATACTAGCACCGCGGGCCCATTAGGTAGGGAAATATTTTTAAAAAAATAATTTTTTATTGCAGGCGACGGGGCCCACGGGGCAGCTGCTTTGGGCCCCCCATGAGTAACTGGGCCCAGGGCAGCTGCCCCGTTTGCCCCTCCTTAAAGACGGCCCTGTTAACCACAGTACCATAGGATGCCCAGTCTGTGATTATGTGCGAGTGGTAAGAACTTTTGAATCCCACAATGGTTTAGTACTCTCTCAGTACAGTAGTACTTTCTCTAACGGCACAGCATGGCGTCTATAGTCTAAACATTTTACTGACGAAGCTGGGCATCAAGCCAGTTTGATAACACAAAAAACACAGTTGGAGCTACAAAATCTTTCATTATAAGTAACAAGGTGACAGACCTGTCATATCTGCAAGAGGCCAAAAAAAAGGATATAATAGTTAAAAGGGACACTTTAACCCCTTAAGGACCAAACTTCTGGAATAAAAGGGAATCATGACATGTCACACATGTCATGTGTCCTTAAGGGGTTAAGCTTCCAGACCACTTCATCTCATTGAAGTGGTATGGGTGAAGTGCCCCTGCTCCCTGAACTATGCAATGCAAAACATTGCAGTTTAAGATAAACTGCAATGTTTATAATGCAGTGTGAAGTCCATCTCTGTTTTCCAGACAGCCACTAGAGTCACTTCATGTTCAATAACAGAGTTAAAAGGGACACTACATGCACCAGAACAACTTTAGCTTAATTAAGCAGTTTTGATATATAAATCATGTTCCGGCAGTTTCACTGCTCAATTCTCTGCCGTTTAGGAGATTAATCATTCTGTTTATGCACACAACCTGCAAGGAAAATGGTTTCATTTTCATGTAGATGTTAACTTGTTTTAGAAGTTTATATCTCATGCTTTGTAAATTGAACCTTAATCACAAACAGGAGGTTCCTACGGGATCAAACATGCTATTAACAGAGCAGGAGATAAGAAATTCTAAATTAAACAGAATTTCCAATAAAGGATGTGTAAAAATTAGATCTCTCTTTATAGGAAGTGTTTAGGAAGACTGTGCAAGTTACATGCCGGAAGGTGTTTCTAGGGCTGCATAAACAAAGGGATGTAACTCATAAATGGCAGAGAATTGAGCAGTGAGACTGCGAGGTCTTGATATATATATACCAAAACGGCTTTATTAAGCAAAGTTGTTTTGGTGAGTAGTGTCCCTTTAACTCCGTGAAACAACGTTGGACGTCCTCACTTTTTACATGAGGACATCTGATGTCTTCAAATCCCCATAGGAAGCATTGATTCAATGCTTTCCTATGGAGAAGCTTAAATGCTTACGTCGCATTAGATCCCCCATCACTGTGACTTTTGGATCAGTAAAGGGATGTGTGAAAGCGTGTATTTGATTGATTTGAGTCTTTTTTCACCTATAAAACTATGTAACAGTATGTACAAGGATACTGTTTCTAATTGTTGCTCTCTTTAATCTAGTTAGAGATCAAAATAACAGTCAAATATCAAGCAGGATGCTCTGATAGCTTGCTTGGACATTTTATTCCATTACACCAACAAGTCAATATCTTCTTATTTATAGTGTTAATGTTTTCTGTTCGAGATGTACCTTTAACAGCATCAAGTGGCACAGGAAAATCTTGTGTTCCTGGTTCAGTAGCTGGAACACCTTTTGGTTTTATAACATCTGTATCTAAAGTAAAATAAATCATTTGTGAGTTAGACACTGATTTGCAGGATCCAGACATCTTGCCAAGAAAAATGTGTTCATATTATTGTTACTTGTCTATAAAACACCTAGTAAAGATGCCATCAGATCTTAATTTTCAACATTCACATAGTGACAAAACAGGAATACCAATCAAAGGTTGCCTCTTTTTACAGAGGAGTGTGTATAACAAAAGTGCTCAAAAGAGTCAAAAAGTGATTTACAGGCAGCTCAATACACTAGTGTGGAAATATCCTCTATTCCACTGAATAAATTTAGTAGATATTGGTGTGGTGTAAGTGACAAGGACCTACACCTATAAGTGGAGCGCTCAAACACAGATAAATCTTACCAAAACGTAGTCTCATTCAATGGTAAAATATGGGGTACATGTCAACATAAAATACAAAAAATACAATATAGTGTAGACGGTACTAAAAAATGGCTTCACAGTGATTATAATAATATTGTGTTGAATATTACACTCACATTTCAAGGAGCCTGTATATAGAAAACACTGGCTCCGTATAAAGGCTTGTGTGCTGTTATGGTAGCACCACCCTCCTACTTCGGCTTGAAGAATTTCTCAGGAACACGAAAAAAAGAGAAGAAAGCAAACCAATGTGTAGACTTATGGTGATAGATGGCACAGATATGTGTTCAATAAATGGGGTGCTCACCTGGTCCTGAGCCTACGAATCCCGGCTCTAGGTATGTGGATTTTGTGCCAGTTTGAATGGGGATGGCACTACCCCTGTGAGGATTCCTTGGAGGCTCCAAAAGGAACTTGGATGAGGTATTGAATAAAAATGGTGAATTTATTAGTTTAAAATAAACATAAAAACAAAGATGATAAAAGTCCTCAAATAAAAGTCCTTTAAAAATGGCCAATACGCGTTTCACTCTCAAATAGAGCTTCTTCAGTCAGCTGTGTGAAGAAGCTCTATTTGAGAGTGAAACGCGTATTGGCCATTTTTAAAGGACTTTTATTTGAGGACTTTTATCATCTTTGTTTTTATGTTTATTTTAAACTAATAAATTCACCATTTTTATTCAATACCTCATCCAAGTTCCTTTTGGAGCCTCCAAGGAATCCTCACAGGGGTAGTGCCATCCCCATTCAAACTGGCACAAAATCCACATACCTAGAGCCGGGATTCGTAGGCTCAGGACCAGGTGAGCACCCCATTTATTGAACACATATCTGTGCCATCTATCACCATAAGTCTACACATTGGTTTGCTTTCTTCTCTTTTTTTCGTGTTCCTGAGAAATTCTTCAAGCCGAAGTAGAGGGTGGTGCTACCATAACAGCACACAAGCCTTTATACGGAGCCAGTGTTTTCTATATACAGGCTCCTTGAAATGTGAGTGTAATATTCAACACAATATTATTATAATCACTGTGAAGCCATTTTTTAGTACCGTCTACACTATATTGTATTTTTTGTATTTTATGTTGACATGTACCCCATATTTTACCATTGAATGAGACTACGTTTTGGTAAGATTTATCTGTGTTTGAGCGCTCCACTTATAGGTGTAGGTCCTTGTCACTTACACCGCACCAATATCTGACAAAACAGGAAGTTGATAGAAAAAAAAAAGAAAAAGGAGAAAAGTACAGAAAATAAATAAATAAATTGCATTTTGTAGCAGAATAAGCATATTAATACATTATAGTCATAGGCGTGCGCACAGGGTGTGCCGGGTGTGGCTGGGCACACCCTAATCCCCATGGCCCGCACCATGTGCCTCCCTCCATGGGCTGGTGAGGGAGATCAAAGATCTCCCTCACCGGCCCGCAGGGAGGGAGGTAGGAGAGGACCCGGGGAGCTCCTGCCAGCAGCTCCACGGGGTTCCTCTCATGAGGTCGGAGCATTGCCGCGGCAACGCTCAGATCTCGCGAGAGTGAATTCTAGCCCTGCAGGCTAGAGTTCACTCTCACCACTGAGACCACCAGGGAAGACAGCAGCACGGTCCCCCTCCTTACATAAGATAAGAAGGGAGGGGGGATATTAACTAAACGGTCCCCCACACACATATACATCACCCTTATACACACACTAACAGCACCCTCACACACACACACACACACAATACCCTCACACATACACACAGCACACAATAACAGCATCCTCACACATACACACAATAACAGCATCCTCACACATACACACAATAACAGCATCCTCACACACACACACAAACACTAACAGCACCCTCACACACAAACACTAACAGCACCCTGACACACAAACACTAACAGCACCCACACTAGCAGCACCCTCACACACACACTAGCAGCACCCTCACACACACACACTAACAGCACCCTCACACACACACACACTAACAGCACCCTCACACACACACACACACACCACCCTCACACAGCACCCTTACACATACACCGCACCCTCACACACACACACAGCAGTGTGTGTGTGTGTATGTGTGTATATATACACGCAGCGTGTGTGTTTGTGCTTTAGGGTGCACACCCTTATGCAAAAGGCTGCGCACGCCTATGATTATAGTGTGAGGACAGAGAACATTATACACAGATATGTGATATATACCTTCTGTAGATGAAGTTTCATCTGTGGATGAATCCATTTCTGAATTTGTCCATTTCTCTTCATTTATTGATTCAAGGATTTGTTTGTAATCTTCACTACCTAGAAGTTTTATTTTGACATTACACATTGAATCTTTTGAGAAATATTATATAAATAAACAAACTGTATTCCAAGCATACAGATGGTGATACACACAATACTTGTACCTTGTGGTGTTTTAGCAGGTGTTGAAGTTACCATGCCACAACAGGAAGTAGAGGGTGTAGATGTCTTGTCTGAAGTAGCTATACTTTGCTGATTTGTTCTTTGCATCTTTCTTTGTGGCTCAGCACTTTCACAATCATCAGCATCACCTGTTTGTTCGTAAGAAAATGTAAAATAAAAGTAACATAATTATAGATATAATAACAATATTAACATGTAATAATGAGATAGGTTTTTAGACTGAAAATATAAGAAAAATGAAGAATAAAAAATGCATATACACATGCATTTCGTATTGTTTGTACTATCAAAGCCATCAGAGGTTTACACTTGGCCAAAGAATTGCGGATTATACAAGAGAAAAATAATGTTTTGTTTGCATGCAAACCCTAAATATGCAGCAATCATTATATCAGTTTTAAAATAACTACTACCATGGCATTATGACAAGAAAATGGAGATCAGTTATGCAAGGACATTATAGAAAAATCCCTTTCTCCTATCATATATATTTATCTTCTTTGGCTGATTGGAGATATATATATATATATATATATTTATATTTATTTATATATTTTTTGTGTTTTTTTTTTCTTCTTCTCCAAAGTAAAATGTTTTATACATTTATGAAATCTGCCCACTATAATTATGCGACGATTGACAGCACGGGAGTGTTGATCGGCGCATCTGCATCCCGGTTTCTATGGGGATAGATTACTTCACTGAAATGATCATGCAGACAGCTGATTTCAGTATCCGGTTCTGTGCTCTGGGAGCCGGAATGCCAGCCCACCCTACAGCGGAAATGTGAGTAATTGATTTTCTGCTAATTTAAATGTTTGTTTTGTAGTATGTCACTTGTGGTTGTCCTGATGAAAGTTCCTGAATGGAACTGAAATGTTGACTGTTACACTTTTTAGTAAAAGAAGTTCCTAAGAAAGCTACCCTGGGAGTGCTGATTTTTTTTCACATATACACACACACACACATATATACATATATATATATATATATACACATATATATATATATATATATAAAATAATACTGCTGTGTGCCAGTTACAAACATCAATACGCATCAGGCTTACCTTATCTTCACGTTTATTTGGCTTACAATTACTAATATTTAAGAAAACCGCAAAGTATGTTACAGCATGATGGATGTTCAACAGCAGATGTTAATAGCTGGCCTCGGGAAGGGAGACAGATAAACATTGTCCTTAAATTCAGAGAAGTACCTTTTTCCTAACGTACCACCAACACTCCACTTAAATAAAGAATGTACGTGACAAACCCTTTGTTTGTGTATTTAGACCAATCAAATAAGAACATTGATATGATTCCTATTGGTTCTGAACCACATTCCAGAATTCTCAGACAAAAAGTCATGTGACTTCTTGATACCATCTGTTACTTATGTCAATCCAGGCACCCATATCTAATGTGAATAGAATATGCAATATTTTACAGACGTTTTAAACATGAGACTTTTAACTAAGATAAAACTGAGAAATGTGTTTTTCAGGAAATCCCAGATGGCCTTGGACAGAAAATTGGCCAGTTACCAATTTGGCTGTACAAACACCAAAACAATTTGAGCCCTGCCAAGGTCAAGTGAAACTATTTCTACATTAAAAATATAAGAAGAACAACTAAAAATGAGACACTCATCAAAAAAACAAACAAAGTGAAGTAAGTTTCCTCTAAAAATTGTTTCTGACATCACTGCAGCATTATTTCCAAACGTGTGAATTGTCGAAAATTCAAATATATAACGAAGTGGTTTTGGTGTCTAGATCATGCCTTTATGGCCTTACTATTAACGTTTCTGACATTTAGGAGTTAAATCACTTTTGTTTCTGTTCATGCAGCCCTAGACATCTCTACTGGATGTGACTAACACAGACTCCATGTAATTTTTTTAAAAAAATGTCAGGTTACTTGTCCCTATGGAGAAAAAACATCCCTATACTAATGCAGTTATACTTTTTTGGGGAGAGTTGTTTCATCAAGTCTTACAGTACAGTGTGTTTACTTTAGCAGTTCTTATCTCTTGCTCTAATAATTTAACTTTATTAACACAAATGACGTTGCTGCAGGCTCTAGCACGTTAACATAGCAGGTGAAAGGAATTTCTAAACATCCACAAACTATGCGATGCAAGGGATGCAAAAACAAATTTCAGACTCTTTCAGGAAGTGTGCAGGGAGACTGTGTGAGTTTCAGCCAGGGGAGGTGTAGTTAGGGCTGAATAAACAAAGTGAAATAAAGGATCTGTCTTTTTTTTTTTTTATTGATGTTTATTTGCAAAGTTATACACTGGAAAAGTAGGGACAATAGTTGACAAAGCGTGGAGCTTTAATTATGCTGCATGTCCTTTCTCATTGGATGTCAAGTCAATACTCTCCTCTCTCCAGAGTCGCATTACTTGCAAAATGGCGCATCACAGATACTCAGTATTAACTCTCGCATGATCATAAGAGTCAGCTGAGGTCTGTGTAAACAAAGGGCAAGTGCATGATTTCGCACACGCACACAGGGAAGGACAGTGGACTGCAGTTCTGAGTACTGCCATCTTAGATACTTTAAGATGATGGCGTTGTAAAAGACTCAGCAGGAACGACACATCTAAAAATACGGTAAGTTGCATCAGTCCCAGGGTCTAAAAAGATTTGGGGGGATCAATAGGAAGCATTTAAATGGCAGGTAAATGAGAAGTGAGAACGCAGAGGCATGATATATACACCAAAATCACTTCATTACCCGTTAACGCCGTTAGAACGCCCTAATGGTTTTTTCGCCCCAGCGCCCAGCTCCTACTCACCTCTGCCGCAATCCATTTCTGGGAGGGACTGCTGGACAGCCCCCATTCGGCAATTAAGGCCCCTGAGGGCCATGTGGTCAGTCTCAAAGACCGATCACATGGCAGGCATAGCTGCCTATGCAGCTGCCTGCAGGGGACTGCCTAAATTGACAGGCAGTCCCCTTACTGCTGAAAAAAGTGAAAATTAACAAAGCAATCAGGGAAAAAAATTGGAAGTCTAGCCAACTCCTTTGTTTTGCACCCCTCCTTGTCATAGGTGCTTCATCCCAGGGCCCTATATAGCTGTGCTCTTTTTGGTTTACCTGAGGGTTGTTACCTTCCCCTCAAGGGAGTTCAGCCTCTCTTCTTTGTGAAGTCTTCAGTACACGGCCCTGTGCAAAGGTGACCCCCTTCAGTACACGGACCTGTGCAAAGGTGACCCCCTGGAGAGACCCCTTTAGTGACAAGTGTTTTTACTTGCGGTGATCCCAGGGCTAACATGATCATGCCATTCCATAATTCCTGCAGTGACCAGGGGCTAGCAAAGTTATGCTATCATCCTGTTTTCTTCAGTGACCAAGGGGTAGCAGGCTGGACATGCACATACAGAGCATATGGACTACAAGGAATAATAGAACATTGACTAACATTCCATGGCTGAAAGAGTTAATATGAGACTGGCTAGCAACTATCTTGTACTTTCCCATGGATTTACTTGCAGTGACCCTAGGAGTAGAAAGATTATGCCATCACCCTATGTCCTGCAGGCTGGGCAGGCACATACAGATCATATATATGGATATAACCCCTTCTAACCTTCATCGGTTTCATCTAAACGGTAAAAGTTTCCTGCTAATTTGAATTTCAATCAAACTTATTCCTGGGTTTCTGTGTCTCGTTTCTAGGCCTCTGCGTCTTTTAATATATACACTTGATTACTTATTCCTAAGCCTCTGTTGGGCCTTTTAATATAGCAGCTGGATTAATTTATTTCTAGCACTCTATGGCTTTTAATAAAAATCCCCACTGCTCAAATAAAAATCACATATATAAGCTTAAAAGTGCAGAGGAATGCTTTGAAAACAGATAAATGAAAACATATTGAGCACATAACTAATATTAATATTACTAAAGAAAATGGCAAGTACACTCAAAACCAGAAAAGACAAAAATACAAAACAACCCCCATATTGCTTATAATGAAAGCACTTACTGTCAAATATTCCTCCCATCCACAAAGAGTCGTCTGCATAAATCTAACAAAAAAAAAAACCAACACAATAAAATAGCCAAAATGCAAATTTCCTATTACCAGAAGTTTGCATAAAATAAAAACCACTATATACGGTAATAATAGTTAATAAAAAAAAAATAAAAAATGGTAGCCAACAGAATTATTTACTAAAGTATGAATTGTTCGGAATGGGGGGGGGGGTCAAAATTCAGAGTTGGATTGAGGAATCAATAACTGTTTTGTTAATGAACCAATTTCAATGGTATTACATACAATGAATGCTTAACATATGGAGATTTCTTTGACTAGGTACAAAAGATAACATCTTTGAAATAAGCTTAATTTGCGTTGTTCATAACATTAGTTAATTGTTGATAGTCTAACACTCGAATTTCTGCCTGATAACTTCCTACAAGGTCATCCTGCACCAAATGTATGAAAATGAGCTTCATCACACATGATAAGTTGATGAATAAATACATTTTTTCTCTGGCTAATTTGATGTTCCTTTGTGAAATTGCCCATGATGAATCTCCCAAGACTCAGTTATAATATGTAATTGTATTGGACTACTAACAAAAATGTTATTTACCTGTCAAATCATACTCTGAATTTTGGCCCAACCTGTATTTGACTTTAACCATTAATTAACTTTCAAAATTTAGTGTTTACTTAGTGTTAATATTTTGCATTCCTCTACTTTTTAGAATGTATTGAAGGTGTAGAATATGTGCCAGGGGTATGTAACCTTTGGCACTACAGATGTTGTGGAATACACATACCCTGATGCTTTGCCAGCATTATGGCTGTAAAAGATGTAGTCCACAACATCTGGACTAATTATGTTCACGTTATCAGGGTTCATCACAAAAGTGAGAATTGTCAGGAATTCAGAGTGAATTTCTATTTTAATATCAATTTTTTTTTTGTGCGCTCAACAAATGAGCATTGTCAAATATGATCCTTCTTAGCTCTGTAACTGGATTTTCCTAAAGGTGAAGATCAGAAGCAAGGACTGTGGCAATGGGCACCCAGCAGGACCTACATAAGTTGTCAAACCATACTAAAATGGTTGAACTACTAATTGTAGGACAGTGCCAAGGTACTTATGGCACTATAACTATTACAGCAGGCTGTAATAATTATGTTCTTTGGAGTGTTCCTTTAAGATATTTAATGCCCTTAGCATACAATTTTTAGGTCAATATTCCTAAAAGGATTAAAGGGAAGAATTGCAAATCTGAATTGAAAAATTCAATATAATGAGACATTTTCCTCTATGGATAAGGTATACTAAAATATCTTCATTGTTGACCAACACAAAGTTGAGCTGTTGTAGCATATTTTTGGATCGCAATGTAACTCCCCAACTCAAACATCCAAAGCAAAACAATGTTGAAACCTCCTCTGCTGGTACCGAACATACAACTCAATGACGGCAAAGCTCTATTGGGGTGTGGATACTACACATGCTGTAAACGCTGTTGACACAGGGGAATTTGGAATGAGCTAGAAATTCAGACATTGACAGTATGCCCCTAAGAGGTCAGTTTATATCTGTTACAAACTTACAACACAGATCAATGAGTTCAAAATACAACCAAATATCAATAAAAATATTACGCTAAGATTTTTCATCCCGTTTGTTCTTTCGATATCAAACACAATTTTCTTTAACTCTTCTGGTTCAAAGGAATGCCTTTGGACTTTCAACTTTTTAAGCACTTTTGCATGATGAATTTTCTGAAAGGAGAAATAGAAACAAACAGCAGTTTATTTTTAAAGACATGATCACTGAATTGCGCAGGTTTTGCTTTCCTAAATATGTCCTAGTAAGAAAATTGGGTAGTAATTTGTAGATTGTGCAGAATAAAACACACATTCCAAATTATCCCAAAATTTGGAATAAATTATGAATTTCTATGAACTTCTGTGAAAAAAATAATAATAATCTTTATTTGTTTTTCATAAAGAGAAATGTCACATAAGAAATCACAGCTGTGCATATATCAATGTGGAAACAAACAGGTCCCCTTGTTCAATGCAATCACTCCAAATATGTCACGCCATCCATACCTTAATAACAAACTCTTTGATATATCGTTCTGCCTTTTAGTCAAACAACCTTTTGTTTTAATGAATTGAGATAAACGATAGAACAATGTATATAAAAATATAAAGGGGAAAACTAGGACTGCTATGCCACTGCAAAGGAAAATCTCAGCAAAGTCCCCAATCTGCATTTGTAAACCAGCAGAGTCCTCCATGTTTTGTAAACCAAGGGGAGGGCAATGTGGATCATAGCTGTTAATTAGTCAATTCAATGGTATTCTCCTATGTTTGCGTGAAACTCATCAACCAAAGGGGCTGTTTTTATCATATTAGCTCTTAATTCCCACCTGACCGCTAAGGTGATCTTGTGAAAAAAATGTTGTGCCTTTCTAGGGACGGTCTCTTAGATAACAGGAGGGTTTAGATAACAGGAATAGCCAGTGGTCTAGCTTGAATGGTCTATAAAACACATTCTCTAGTATCTGCTGGACCACCTCCCAGAACTTTGCCAGGATGGAACAAAACCACCACATGTTCTTCTATTTTCTATGCACTTTTTATTTTAGAATCTGTGTTTACACTTGTGGTCATTACTATTCCAATTAATGGTTTTTACCCACAAGAAGACTTTTTAAAATACATAAAATCAACACATATGGCATGTGATGATTGTAAGGTGGTGTGTGTTTTATACTACTACAAGATAATGTGGTACAATTAATAACATTATATACTAAAGCAATGTATTCAATTTATTGGGTTGACAGGAAATGCCAAACAATGCAAACATGATCTGGTCACTGTTTTCCAAGGTACAAAACAATGTTGCGCACACACTACGCATACCATGGCAGTCAAGCAGTGAACTAAGAAAATCAGTGCCAACTGTGCCACAGCTCTATTTGCAGGACCCTCCTACTTTAAATGCATCCAACTTTGGCATCATATCCAATAGGCTTCAGTGAGTGAATGTACAGACTTGCAGGCAAGAGAACAGATCTCTGACACTGGAGTCACTGATCTATCACCCTGAATGCCCCCAGTGTGCATTAATGATAAAAGAATGAAAGAGCTAGCTGGCAGTGCCAGGTGGAGTGAAAACTGTGTGTAACAGTACCATGTACATAAAGAGACTTACCATGTATCTGTAAATGTGACGGAGGTCGTTCACATGTTCTATTACATCAGGAAATTGACCTTTACACAGTTCACATCTATATAACTCCAATGGTCCTGTATTCTGCTCATAAATATATATTAAACCTAGGGGAGAGAGAGACAAACATTTAATTACTTTCATTTTAAAATGAGTTTGTCATTCACTACATGTGTAACTTTAGACCTTTGGATTTGTAGACAATTAATCAATGCATTATGCTGATTAAATTGTCAGCAAATGTATAGTATAAAAAATAATCTTACTTGAGGTCTACTTTTTCTATAATAATAATGGACAAATAACAAATGCCAAATTCCACAATGTCAAGCATGTAGGTGCAAATGAGAAGTTGTGCAGGTTATGCAGAAACAAAATAAATTGTACTCCCTATTTAATGACACCATGTCATAGCTGGCATGCCTGGGACACCCAGGGGAATGGGAGGGGGTGGGGTGGTGGAAAGGGGGGAGTAAGAAGACACACAGGGTGACAAAGACTCACAGGGGACTAAGGGGGAAAAGTAATAGGGAGAGGCATTAGCAGTAGAAAGAGGGAAGTGCTCATGTCATTGTACAGAACACTGGTGAGACCTCACTTGGAGTATTGTACACAGTACTGGAGACCGTATCTTCAGAAGGATATTGATACCTTAGAGAGGGTTCAGAGAAGGGCTACTAAACTGGTTCATGGATTGCGGGATAAAACTTACCAGGAAAGGTTAAAGGATCTTAACATGTATAGCTTGGAGGAAAGACGAGACAGGGGGGATATGATAGAAACATTTAAATATATAAAGGGAATCAACACAGTAAAGGAGGAGACTATATTTAAAAGAAGAAAAACTACCACAACAAGAGGACATAGTCTTAAATTAGAGGGACAAAGGTTTAAAAATAATATCAGGAAGTATTACTTTACTGAGAGGGTAGTGGATGTATGGAATAGCCTTCCAGCTGAAGTGGTAGAGGTTAACACAGTAAAGGAGTTTAAGCATGCATGGGATAGGCATAAAGCTATCCTAACTATAAGATAAGGCTAGGGACTAATGAAAGTTTTTAGAAAATTGGGCAGACTAGATGGGCCGAATGGTTCTTATCTGCCGTCACATTCTATGTTTCTATGTGAAACACAGAGGGGCTGGGGACCCATACAAAGTTATCAATTTGTTGTTGTCAACATGTCCTTAATCACAGATAAACATGTTGTAGTTCGTGCTACAGTATCACCATTGCTTTCTACCTTAACTAAATGATAATTTGTCTATGCTGTTTTGGTTTAAAATGTAAAATTCACTGAGAATTAGGGATTATTCTAGCCTCGGTGAGGGAATAATCTAAATTTTATTAAAGACAGGAGGCTTCATATTTGCTTTACCTTCTTTTACTGAAACCTCCAGCAGCAAAGATACAGTTAACAGAACTTTTCAAAACAACCAATCAGAACAAAGCAACAGTAGTATAAAACCCCTAAGCAGGCTCTTCCACTTCCACTTTCTTTGATGAGGTCGAGCAGGAGAGCAAGGAAACCAACGAATCTACCTTGTAGCAGACACATCCAGAGAAACAATAGTCAAGCCCAGAGAGAAAACAGATTACACTGCAAGAAAACAGAAAACATTGTGAAAGTAAACTGTCAAGGCAAGATGTCATATCCATACAATATCACTTTCACACCATAATACCTGATGAATAAACAAACAAAGTCTACAGATCTTATGAAGACCTAGTATGTACTTAAGCTAAAAGGCATTGACGAAACATAATTTCAACACAAACATGATGAATAAAACGCACACGGACAACCATCACTGAATATTAGAAATAACCTTTATTATGTAAAACCATCACTGAATATTAGAAATAACCTTTATTATGTAAAACCATGCCTTCACAAAACATAACAATATCCCCAATTATTTATAATAGAATAAAACCCAGATCCAGGGAGGGAACGTAAAAAAAGGGGGGGAAATATTCGCCTGCTGTCTTTAATAAAATTTAGATTATTCCCTCACCGAGGCTAGAATAATCCCTAATTTTATGGCAGGACAGGAGGCTTCATATTTGCAATTTTAACGCCCAAATAGTAGAACCAGAAGCAATACGAGATAGAGGACTGAAATAAAGGAGAATGGAAAAACTGATTCCCTAAACCAAGCAGCGGAGTAGAGAAAATGCAGAAGGGACCCAACGGCTTCCAAAATTGTTGAGGTGACAGCACCCCGAACCAAAAGTGTCCCAGAGGAACTCAAGGTCAGTCAATGAGAGGATCCACCAAATCCAACGGGCGAGCGAAGATGCAGAAACAGTCCAAAACAGCCGTACGCAGAAATAAACAGCTATCCATGAGTAGACGGACGAAAGAACCAGATCCTGGATCTACATGGTCTTGTACAATCTGTCAACAGAGCCGTGGCCTATCCGGAGAATAGGGGTACGACACACAGGATGAATAAAAATGAAATATGTGTGGAGCAGAAGCCGATGTACTGAACGGCAAGAAGACGTCGATACCATGACTTCAGAACGCGATGAAATACAAGATGTACTGGGGGGAAACCGTAAGCGGAAAAAACTGGTGCACCTGGTCATCAGGTCATTCCTCAATGAAATGCAGAACACACGATACCACTAGACTTGAGGAATAGCGAGAGATAGGGCTCCCGTACGGTATACTCCTCTTGGTAGACTGCAGCCCAAGAGATCCTTAGCAATGCCAGAATCTTGAGAAAACGCACATGAGTCGTCCACTAGCTGACATAGGACATGAATGGCCCCATACGATCCTACCCTGAGAGGGCAACTCAGCCAGACAATGGGGACAGCCATGATAAGGACCGCCATTGGGACCCAAACACCAGTCGTGGCAGGCTACCCCTGTGGATCCCACGTGGGACATTAAGAGACAGGGAGTTGTAGATTGCCTTCCCATGGCAAACTCCAGCAAAAAGGGGAAAACACGCAGGACTCCTCCGAAGTGGTTTGGCCAGGCGAAATGACACTTCCAGGAATTCGGTCTGAAGCAAAACCCAAAGTATACTGTAGGTAAACGGGATGCGTACGCCCCGAAGGAGACCAAGCTTGGAAAACTCGTCCCTCGCCTCGCTGAGGGTCTGGCAGCCAGTTGGAGAACCGCTCCGTATGGCAGTTCGCACCGAATGTAATCATGCCAGTACTCGAGACCCTGGAGGGTGAGGCAACCAATCATTGGGGTCTCTCCATGGTTGGGTGAAGCCGTCCGCCGCATGAGTGTCTCGTCCCGCATACATTCTGTCACAAATGACGAATACTTGTCCAGAAGCTATAGATAGCGATCCTATGTGAGATCCGACTGCAGTCCATAGTGGGCAACCGGTGAGAAGTCCATGCCGGAAGGTAGCGAGCAATACTGTGAATGTTGAACAAACCTGCAGGTAGTTCCATGCAGTTGGCGTAAAGGAGTCCCTCCTCCGGAGTCATCAATTAAGTTTTAGATGAGCTTCATCCGAAGGTCACATGATTTGGTCATACCAGGCCGAAGACCCGAGAAAGCGCCATGTTGGAGCGGCTGGAGGTATGGCTTCCATGGCGAATAGGCACTGGTCAATTAACCGGGTTGGGCCCCTAAGTGTAACCCGCGGGTTGCGGAGCATATACCTGGTATTTTCCTTGAAGACGGACATCTTGGTCCTCAGGAGGCGGAGCACCGCCTGGACCGAATATTCCATGAAAGACCGGAAACTGGGTTGACTGGGAGTGAGTCAGATTCAATATGTCCATGTTGATGGCAAAATCCATGCGGGTTTCTCTCATGTGCATTTGAGGGAGAGAACCAATCGTCAACGCCGAGCAGCTCTCAGAGGGGATGAGTGCCCTCCGTCTCAAAATGTGTCAACAGATGACATATGCACGGAACATGTAGCGTGGGGATGGGGCGGGAGTCCACTCCAGCGTACCCTTTGCCCAGCAGGGCAACTGCAGAATGAGTCGGAATGGATGCCTCTTTTGGTCATGCGTATCGCTCATGGAACGGTCCAAGGTTCCGCAATCTTGATCTGGAGTCCGGGCACGGTCCGAGAGACCTCTGGGGCTAGTTAAGGGGGAACCCTATGAATAGAGACGTGTCAGCTCAATTTGTACACGAGGGTAACTCCGGAGAGCAGACCCAGCACTTGGATGCTAAATCCATCAGTTTGATGTCCAGCTTGGACAGGGGCTGTTTTGCGGTTCTCAGGGGTAGAAACCAACTAGGCGATACCCATAAGTCATATCGGTCCATTCCCAGTGGGAATTTAGTCTTCTCCGCTTTCCAAGCGGTAACGCGCCGTTCGTCCTGAGGAAACATCTGTGTCCGCGTGTCACCGACATCCACTGGTTAGTCCCAGATAGAGTGCAAACCCCGTGTCAGGTGTTTGCGGTGTCCTTTCCGGACTCCGTCATGAAGACTGATCCTCTTGATGTATCCATCCGTTAGCCAAAGAGTACCAGGGGTGCTTGGTGTAGCGTCTAGGATGGCCGGTGGAGTGTCCCCGTAGGGTACCGATGGTTTCTGGAAGTGAGGTCAGCGGGGCGGCAAGAGGACAGGCCAAGTGACCTTCTGGGTACGGGAGATTTGTCCTTCAGCCATGATTGCACAACTGCCATAGAGGTAACACTGTCAGAATGATACTTGGTGTGGCCAGCTGGGGGTCACCCAGCGTGCAAGAGGGGGTCACCCAACAAGCACAAGCATACCATGCAGTATAGGCCAGCAGGGGAGGGGGTCACCCTCAGTCTGAACATAATCGGACACTGTAGGTATAGTAGTGCCGAAGTGGTTAGCCGTATAATAAAGTAACCAGACATTGCCGGTCCAGCAGTGTAGACGGCAGGAGGGGGTCACCCTCATATAACCAGAACCGGGCATTGCAGATCCAGCAGTGCTGTAGGTAAGAGGGGGTCACCCTCAGTGTGGTATCATAGAGGTCTGTACACCCAGCAGTGTAGTCAGCATTATGGTTATAACGGGACCCTGTAGGTCCAGCAGAGTAGTCCACAGGAGGGGACACCCTCAGTATCTGCGTATTGCAGGGCACTGTAAGAACAGAAGCTCAATCAGTGGGAGGGGTACCCTCTTTTATGGGAATACCCGGACGCTGCAGATCCGGCAGTGTAGACTGCAGGAGGGGTACCCCCTCGGTATGATAATAGCAGGACATTGCCGGAGCATTAGTATAGGAAGCATGAGGGGGGTCACCTTCAGCATTAATCTTACAGGACGCCATAGAGCCAGCAGGGTACTCATAGGTAGCCATGTTGCCAGAGGGAGGGGGTCACCCAGCCCACAATGGTTTCACATGTCCATTATTATGGTCCAGTAGCGGGTAGAGCCCCAGTAATAACAGGTCTGAATGTGGGGCCAGTAGCCCCCCTGAGGGGTAGGAGGGTCCATATAGCGAGAAGCTGACTCACAGACCACTCAGGTATTATATTAGGATACACTTTTAAAGTGTATGTGTAGTGGAAAATGTAAGTCCCTTGCAGGAAGGGCAGCAAATCCTAGGCAGGGGAGCTAGGTGCTGAAAAACAGGCCATTTCATTTTTATGAGAAAAAGACTGAACCTTAGAGAAAGACTTGATTAGCATATAACACATGTGGGATAGTCTTGTTAAACAAAGATTTTTATTTGAGCAGTAACATTTAAATCTGAGATTCACATGTAATAGTAAAAAAGTGTGACAAGTCTACTGCTAAGATAGAGTACATAGTCACATTGCATCAGACATAGTAAGCTGCAGTTGTGAGCGTGCCTGGGACAGATCCTGCTATCCAGGATCTGTTACATATGCAGCATGTGAGACAGGCACAGTAAGTAGAGGGATAGCTGAAAAAAATGGGCTATCTCCCCTGATATAGAGAGAGGGGAGGGTGGCCACATGGCCAGCAGGCCAGTTCGTGGGTGAGACCTGGCTGTTCGCAATGCACAGAGCCCATGTGGCTCTGAAAAATGGCCGCCGCGGCTCCGACAAAATGGCTGCCGTGGCTGCAAAAACAGAGCGCGGCCTAACGCGTGGTGATCGTGCGGCACGGCCACGGTAGAAAAAGCTGCTCAGCTAGCGACCAGGGGCCACGGGGAGCAGGTGGGGAATAAGGGAGAAGGGTATGGGCGACAGAGCCCAGCAGGGGAACCTGGGGAGGGGGAACAGATTACAGGCAGAGCCAAAGCATCATAGCATTCCACAGCAGAGTGAGAAAAACTGCATAAAATAACCCAGAATAACAATAAATCAATGAGCAGTATCCAGAATCTATCAGATAAATGGCCTAAATACAGCAACAGATGTTAACAAGTGATACAGCAGCTACATAGCATGAAGTGGTATAGGAAATAACACATAATAGACTGCCTAGATAAACCCAGCAAGAGACTGCCTAGATAAACCCAGCAATAGACTGCCTAGCTAAACACAGCAGACAAACTGTTAAAACAAATCAAGCAAGAACCCTGCCTAAATAAAACCAGCAATTAAGCTGCTTAAACAAACCTAACAAATAGGCTGATTAAATAAACAAGCAGCATATAGGATAAAAAAAAAACAACCCAGAGCAGAGACAACTCTGAGTTGGTGAGTGCTCACCTGGAGGCAGCAGCAAAGAAAGAGGAAGTGGAAGAGCCTGCTTAGGGGTTTTATACTACTGTTGCTTTGTTCTGATTGGTTGTTTTGAAAAGTTCTGTTAACTGTTTCTTTGCTGCTGGAGGTTTCAGTAAAAGAAGGTAAAGCAAATATGAAGCCTCCTGTCCTGCCATAAAATTCACTTTATATTACCGGCAAATCTAACTTTAAGGAATGACCCTGCAAGTGTTCTTCTGCCTCATTTAGTTCCCCATTTCTTTCCTACCAGAGTTAGTTCTTTGTGTAGTCTACTTGGACTCTTTGGTTTATTTCTTGGTGTTATGGACAAAATGTTAGAATTAGTAAAATGTCTATTTACTCTGTGTATCTGTGCTCATTAATTACTGTGTTAACCTGACTGTTTCCCCTCTAACCCCTTCCCCCCTCCTTTGTTCAGTAACAGCTCTCTCAAGAACTTGCCTCGTGTAACAAGATGGTGTTTGGATGTGTAGGAGAGTTCCATGTTAGTAATTACATCACGCCCAGTAAGATGGAATTAGATGAGACCCCTTAAAGTGTAACCAATTGTTGAAGTGTATTTTCTGTTATCGATAATTATGCATATGATGTATTCTTGCTTTATGGGCTTCCCACCCCTCAAAATAAAGCATTCCTGAGTTTTTCATCAACCTGGAAACTTGTGTCTGGTGTGAATTACTTTAGGAAGCGTGCACACAATTAAATAACTAATTTGGACAGGAGCAGATAGTCAAATAATCAAACACTTGATATGATCCGTAACATTGGACCCGACCACATACTTGCTTGCCTCTTTGTGGCCTGGTGGGTCTGGCAACTGGGGCAGGCGGCCGATCTCCTAGCCCAGTGAGCGCAGCCTCATGCTGCCTCTATACAGCCCACTACTCCCCCTCTGGACCGGTGGGGGATATCCCGGTCCCCACTGGAGCGCTGACCTGACACTAAGCAGAAGACCCCACAGGGCCAGCGAGGCAGACAACATGTAAGCGGAGGAAGCAGCTAGGAAGGGTATATACATATACAAGCCAGGTCCTACGGCTGGTTGATATCTTCCCAGAGCTCGGTCCAAACAGGGACAAACCCCTAATCACTACCCACAGTTTCGGATGGCCAGTACTCAATGTGACACTCAGCAGCGTGACAGATGATCCCAAGATCACATCGTGGTCTCAGCAGGCGACAGGACCAGTGGGACTGCTGTGCTGCACTGTGCAAAAATCTGGGGCAAGTGGGGAACTAATTTGTGGGACATGGGTCACACACATCCTGCCTGGGCAGAACACACTATATGACAGGCATAGGCTGAATCACAAACCTCCCAGTCTTTTTACTATTAACCTTTTCATACATAACAGTAGTTTTATGTTTGTTTCTCCTTACATTCTGTTGCATTGCATTTAGAATTGTCATTCTTGGCCCTGTTTCACACATGGGCTTTTGTGTTTAACATGTTTCACAATCTTAATGCTTTTCATTCGGGTCTGGAGACCTTGCTTTACTCAGCAAGCTACACACCCAGTGGAAAAATTGTTAGGCATAATGTCAGTTAATTCAGGCTGTCTAACTCATTTATTCTTATACACACTGCTGACATCCTTTATTTTGATTAAGCCTTACACAGTTATCCATCACCACGTCAGGACTACTATCTACTTAGTTTTATTAGTTCAGTACCAACACATACTTAGACATGCGTGCCTAGCAGTCTCTTGTTCATTTTTCATTAAATTACAAAAATGTGCAGTTATGATATGCCAAGCAATTGTTTCTAAATGTCTATTGAAAGGTTAGAAATAGCTGTTGAGGCATTGCAAACCTACTTGTATTATTTCCATGCATGACGAAATAAAGAATTTTAATAAATGAAATTTTTAGTTATTTAATATATCCTATTTACAAAATGACAAAGTTGTTGCAATATTATCAGTATACATTTACAGTTTGGTTAAATTGGTAATGGGTATCATATTACTAAATTGTATTTGCTTCGGACATTTTTTTCCCATTCATTCCATTCTTGTCTTAATATATCATTTTCCGAGTATGCGCAGTATATTAATTTGTGATATTTATTATACAGAATGGAGTATAAAATCTCTTTAATATCTGGCAAGTCACTAGTTTTCCATTATCTGGTTATGGTTGTAGTTGCTGCAATTAAAAAATGACCTAACATTTTTTTGGAAGGTGATTTGGAATTCTTTTAAATAGACAAATTTCAGGGATCAACTGGGGGATTGAATCTGTGATTGTATATATATTAATTTATGGACGGATTTCAAATGTGAGCCCAGCTCGGGACATGTCCACAGTATGTGACACAATGAGCCCATTTGTACACACCCCCTCCAACATTTATCCGAATTAGTTAATTTAAATGTATGTAATCTAGAGGGGGTGAGATACCAATGATCAGGGGCGTACCTAGAGCATTTGGCACCCGGGGCGGATCCTGTGCTTGGCACCCCCCCCCACCCAAAAAAAAAAAACCTGTAAAAAATGTTAAAGGTTTTCTTTCTTTATTTTTACAATTTGTAAACTTTGCAAAACCGCTGTCAGCCCCTCCTACAAAACCCTTGTCCTGCCCTGCCCCTCCTACAAAACCTCTGTCCTGCCCCTTCTACAAATCCTGTACTGCCCCATCTACAAAACCCCCGCAACCCCCTTCCACAAATCCCCTGCTTATCCCCCCTTATAAAGACTCCTGTCCCAATACAAAACCCCCACCCCCTTCTACAAAATCCCTGCAGCCCTACACACACATTTACAGGCAGACAGTCACACACTCAGTTACAGACAGACAGTCACACACTCAGTTACAGACAGACAGTCACACATCACACATACACATTTCCTCCGTGCGGCCAGTTTATCAGCTGTTTGCTTGAGTGAGCTGTACTGGCCGCACGGCACCCTAACTACCATGGGACACTGTGCGGCCACAGCTCACACAGCCCCCTCCAGCCAGGGCCGGTGCAAGGATTTTTGCCGCCCTAGGCAAAAGTAAAGTTTGCCGCCCCCTATGTGACATCACAATGCCCCACCCATATGATTTGCCATGTTAACTAACGCCAGTGCTGCAGTGCCGCTGTGTTTACATTAAAAGGCCTGCAGGGACAGGCTATAGACACCAGAACCACTACATTAAGCTGAAGTGGTTCTGGGGACTATAGTGTTTCCTTAATGTGAGGTAAATTAGAGCTTAGTGCCACGAATAATATACTAGATTGCCTACTTACAACCAGATGAGGATGATGATGAGCTCTAGCTGCAGTCTGGCTCCACTGGTCTGGTGCAGAACAGGCTCTCTGGAGGCGGTTTGTAACTGTGGTCACAAAAATCAATGTTCTGGGAGAACGGGAAGCAGCTCCATTTTTTGGGGGTCCTTTACACAGCTCAAGGTCTGGTCCCAGGGTCCACCTTCATGTTCCACCAATGAGTTTGTTCACAGGGGGTGGAGTGTGTAGGGGATGTCCTGATATGTGTGTAAGGAATGCAGTGTGTGAAATTGTGATTGTATGTGTAAGGGCTGCAAGGTGTGTTTCTGTGTATGTATGGGATGCATTGAATGTGTGTAAGGGGTGCATTGAGTGTGTGTAATGAATGCATTGTGTGTTTCTGTGTGTGTATGGGATGCATTGTGTGTAACGGTTGCATTGCT